TGCATGCCATGGGTATTACATGTAGGTATCGGTACATCTGTACATGTACGGACTGGTACATGCACCAGTACTGTGCATGTACCCATCCATACATGTTACAATTTAATGAGCGGATGGCACATGTATTGTACATGCACATGCCGTAGTTGTACATGTATACATACATGTACGTACATAACTGTATGTACCGTACTTGTACATACATGTGTACATGTACATTGTACATGGCACATGCACAGGTCTATATATGTATGTTTTGTACACTGCCTCTGGTTTGTAAATTAATTAAATCATGTACACACATGGTTACAAGATGATGGGGACCACACACATACATGTACCTACATGTATGTGTACTGGTACATTCTTTACATGTACTGGTAAACACCGGGTCTGGTGTTCTGTCATGGGGATAAATATGTCCCCACATCATAGTTCTAACTTTCCTAACAAAAGAAATGTCCCTCAATGCATGAAAGACCTTCCCATGTGTGAACACAGTGTATACATGTGTACATGTATATGTGATGAATATGTCTGCAAGTGCTGAAATTTTTAACATCCTTGATGGGAGGCAAGGTTTTACTTCCCTGGTTTTGATGCCAAACATTCTTTGCTTTCAAGTGGGCTGTGATAAGAAGCAGGGTTGAGCCCAGCCTGACCTCACTTTCTATCACAGTGTCAGGCAGGGGGATGAATGTAAGAATTAAATTTGATCTTGCATTGAGAATGCGTACATGTATGTACATTACGTGTACATGTACGGTGTACTATGTACCATACTTGTACATGCCATTTCATATGTGTATCTTTCATGTTTTGATCACAGAATATTTGAGAGACTTGTCTGGAAATTGTTCTTGAAGTAAAATGTACATGTGCAATGTGTTCATTGATGTCAAAGTTACAGTATAATGTTCATTGTTCATGTACCGTTACTGTTTCTTGTTACAGTGTTGTTGGTTTGTTTCTGTTTTAATTCTCCCTCCTCCCAAAAGAGTTTAATCTCATCCAACAGGTTAAAAAAACTTGTATTTGTATACATGCTTCTATGTACATGTACATGACTACATGTATGTGCTTCTATTTACACATGCTTACACTGTACCGGTACCTACCGGTTTATTTCTGTAACAAGTAAATCATCAAAACACCCAAAGGAAACCCCACCCACCAAAAAAATCAAAGGGAATTGGAGAAGAATTTTTGTGTTTGACCTCACATGACATTGACATGCGAGGATTTCCAAAGGGTAATTTATTCTCCACTAGTATATTTGACATGTTTGAGAATTAATTCATACAGGTATGCCTGTGCATAATTTTTAGGAGGGGGACAGAGCAGAGTTAAAGGTTCAATACAGGGGTATTTTCGTGCTCAAACAAAAGATTTTGGTTAGTCAAATAATGATATGTTTGCATCAGTAGAAACAAAGGGCTTTGTAGTCATTATTAAAAAAATGACTTGGAGGAGGATCTTCTCACCTCATGTTGTGCCTGATGTGGTCTTTTGACCTACATTGTACATGTACCGGTACGGTAGAAATCATCACAGACAGCCTTGATTAAGATTGAATTTGAAGCAGTCAACCAATACGCCCAGAATCCTTTTTAAGGGACTCCACAAATCAACATGATATGAGGGTGTGTCTGCATTGTACATGTACATGTATGTATATGCAACCGTACATGTACAGCACATGTGTGCAAAAGTCAGAAATTGGCTTGGTGTGGAATCGTGTCAGATTTCACTGGGGTCCAGATTTTGTGTGACAAATTTTTTTGTGGATATGTACCAGTACACGCAGCCCTTGAATCCTTCATTCATTACTTCCAGTAAAGATTAACTGCACAAATATGGACAGTACACATACCGGTACCTGTACATGTACGTGTATACTGGTACAGTATGTGTGCACAGCACATGTACAACTGTACAATATACTTGTGTACCGTACATTTTTACTAAGATTGCAAAATCTGAACTTTGGACTGTATATTTCAGAATTGTCAGTCTAATTTAGGAACAATCTGAAGGGATCTTGACTCGTCCCAGTAGTCGTAATTTCCCCAACCACTGCTCCTGCAGTTACATGTACGTGTATCATGCCTGTCCCCATCATGTAAATATTGGTAGAGCCTTTACAATAACAGATTTTAAATCCTTCCTGATCTCCTGTGTAGTTTGTGATGAGTTTTTTGTCTGTTGAAAACTACAGCCAAACATTGAACTTTTGCTTGTACTGTACATGTACTTACATGTATATGTACATGTCCAGTATGACCTACATGTACATGTATGTGTACCAGTACATGTACATGTACATAGTATTGCCTACATGTACATGTACATGTTTGGGTACCCGTACATTCATAGCCTACACACACACACGTACATGTATGTTCCGTAGGTGCTGGTATCAATACGGGCACATGTGTGTACATGTTTTTAGTACAGTTTTGTTGGAAATTGACAATTTGGACTAATTCACTTGTTTTAAAGTGTTTGGATATGAAAAAGACATGATGTTGACAAGAGTTACAAAGTACATGTATGGTACAAAACAGTTTTTATTAGTTTGAATTGAAACATTTCATTTTCATGTGTTGCTTTGACGAGTATTGAAATTTCATGGGAGTTCATAACACCCATCGTACATGTACCGGTAGTTAACCCATTGAGAATATTTATTTGATGATTATTGAAACTGAGTCTATTGTGTCCTGCGGTTAACAGCAACCCTTTAAACAGAAAAACAGTATTTGGTAGCCATTGGCTCCTAATGGGGAAAAATCTAAGCGCCAGCACTTTTATGAAAATTTAGTAATCACGTGTGCTGAATATTCATGAATGTAGGTACGTGTAGTATAAATACCCTGTGTTTACATCGTTCATCCATGCCGAAGAATCATGACCTGGAGCGGCACACGTCCACCTCACAACTTGCATATTTGATTCAAGTGCCAATGAGGTCAATCCACGAAATCAGTTATTCGGACGTAATTCCGCCACGAGCTCCGTTTCAAGTTTCATTTACGTTGCAGCAAAACAGCAGCAAAAAATGGAGCCCATGCCATACTGTGGTTTGTAAAATGGCCCTGGTGTCCATATACAGTGCATCAACAACGTATGTTTAGATCAGGAACCAACCTAACCGTGCGTGTGATCGCAATGCATGTATTGTACACGTGTATGTGTACATGTAAAGTATGGTATGTACATGTACAGCGCAATCGGTGCGACTCGATGCGACTTGCGCTGCCATTTCTACTTTTCTGGAACGAACTTTGAGTACATAATCATTGCTTTTTTTATTTTTAAGCATACTCAAAATTGCTCAAATACATTTGTATGTAGTTTTTAAGCTATCTTAAGTCCCAAATGGCGACTGGATGGTGAAAATACCGGTATGATCGCATTAGCAAAATTGTGGTCGCATTTGCCACTGATTTAGGCGCTATTTAACGGGTTGGTTAACAGTTTTATTTAAGTTTGAACTACTGGTACAATCAACGTCCCCAAGCCGCTGGTTGGGTCCTGAGTTAGCATCCTCTCCACACCTCACTACCCTCTACGCACCATACAAGCTGCCTCATCACTGGACCCTCTACAGTCTCCTGACAAAAGACAGAGCATACTGTCCGAAACGTTGAGAACTGGTTCTTTTCAGAACCCTACCTGTACATGTATATCCGTGGTGCTACCACAAACATCTAGTTTTACATGTACAATACTTGCTATCTCCAACATGAAAAGCTTCGAATCTTATACAATCATTTCATTTTTAAATATTTACGGTAGTTGATTATTATTGGAATTCAACAGTTTTCCTTTTACATGTGAAAACAATTTTTAAAATTTTTAATTTCACGCACATATACATATGTACATGTACCATACACACATCCTAGAGCCATAGGTTTATCCAGCATTACCATTCCAGGCACAGGGGTTAATCTTTAAAAAAAAATTTGCAAAATGAAGTACTTTATTTGTACTACATGTACATGTAGGTAAACCTTCAGCTCTACCCCACTGCACGCTAGTGGGCAAAACTGAAGCTGATGTACACTGTACCGTACATGTACAGTATACATACCTGTACATGTGATCACACTACACTGTAACATTTTAACATGCCACCAAAAGGACTCCCTAGCCTACCCAGAGACCAGATGCTTTCCAATTGAGGGAGATGTTCATCTGATACACGAGGGCATGCGAAACACACTGGCATGAAGCTTTGCCTGCACAATCCAGAGATAATAACCCCACTACATTGAATCTTCTGCCCTCAGGGCACTGCAGGCCGCACAAATGTCAGTTTGGTAACCCAAACCCGAGCAACGCGATCGTTAGATACATGTACTTCATCTTGAATTGGCTACAGTATACTCGATCTTTAAGCGCAAGTCCGCAAAACCCTTGACTTTTAAACAGAGAACAGTACATTCTTCTGGATCTGATCTGGAAAATCTCATTGTAATATGTTTACATTGTATGTATTGTGATTTGAAACCTTCAGTTTGTTCTGTCAGCTTGAGCACATTTCTATTCAAGATACGTATACAATGTAGGTGTATGGACATGCCTTTTTTCATTAGTTTTCCATTTTGTTGATTCCAACTTCACTTGTACGTACATGTACATTTATAGTAAACAATGCAGTGTTCGTCTCTGTTTTAAGTTGGTATTATATTTAGAGATCTCAGAATGAGTAAATTTATCAACAGTTAAGTTTGCAAACTTCTCACTTTACCAAAAACAGTCTCTACAAACAGATTTGTGGTTTTTATATGTACATGGCATCATTATGAACCAGACTTCTACAAAGGATATTTTGTGGTTTGAGGTACGGGTAGTGACTACTTACAAAACTTGTCATTACACTTACAGCAGTGGACTGAAACTGTTTCAAAATATAAAGCTTAAAACCTTCACCTTCATGTTTATTGTGCATGTACAGTTAGCACTGTCCATATCTTTTTTTCTTATTGTAGGGGCGTGAACCAGGTGCCAAGATTGATCCATGGGAAGATGCATCCTTTATCATCTACAAGGTCACTGACAAAAATGGCTTTTTACAGTAAGTGCGCAGGCTTCATTTTAGAGACCAAGCAACCAATTCATTGCCCAATGCAGCATGCAGAAAACAAACTTCCATTTCCTTGAAATTTCCTTGTATCCTGTTTCAGTCCCAGTAGTAACTGTATTCTACATGTATTCTCACTTGTCTATTACAGAATTTGCTATTCGAACTTTTCCTTGTACCGGCTATCATTTTAAAGTAGTTTTCCCTTTCCCTTTTTTCAGTTTCCATTTGCTTGAAGTTTGAAGTGTCAATACATTCTATTTTCTGACTGCGTTTCCAAATGGTTCTAGCAAAAAAGTGTGAGAGAGTCGTGTTTTGTGATAATTTTAATCCTCTAAGAGATCCATAATTTTCTTTTGATTGATTTTTTTTGTGGCGTTGTAGAGAGCATGAATTACCCCCAAGCCCAGATGAAGAAGAAAGGAAGGTAAGTGAGGGTTGGAAAATACTCCATCGAAAGACTCTCTGGAGTGTAGTCCCAATTCCTTTGACAGGAGATAGTAAGGTATCAGTTTCCAGTTGGAGGAAGCTACCAGAAAGGTCTTTGCAAGGAAAGGCAGCGTGACTCAAAGGGAGACTAAAATTCCTATCTGCAGATTGTAGTGCTGGGACTCGAACTTCAGCAGGGTGGCCCAATTTGCACTGAATGGAAAACCTGGATGGCTGGACTGCTGAAGATCTGTGCCGTTACTTGTGTATACCTTGGCATGACAAAACAGCGTGTCCAAAATGGCCTACCTAGTGTCTAAAAGACATCCATACTGCTTGCTGGCTTATTAACAAAGGAAAAATCCTTGAAATTGAAATTTGACAGTTGTGTATGAGAGCAAATTTCAGACTAACTGACCACCTCTTCCCTTTGCTTCCCATCCCCTCTGTCAGCCCACAACAGACTTGTTTTGGGGTAACAAAACTTAACGCTGATTATGTTGGCCACTGCCAGGTGTTGAAAGTCCATGTTGAAATTCCGCACTTTGAGTCTTGGGTCCAAGTCACGAGACTCATACTGTGCATGAAGTTCAATTTTATCACAGTCAAAGTGATTTAAATATCTTTGTTAAAAAAATAAAGATATAAGTATCTTTTAAAAGCCATTGAAATTTGTTAGTTACCCCCACATCAAACCTCCTTCCTACATTGTACATGTATGCAGCTTTCCTCCCCCCATGCCTGAAATGTCTGTGTTTTGGATGAAGTGTTTCGGATGATATGTCTGAACTACATGTATATATTAGCATCCATTCATTGGTTGTTTTGAAATTCTATCAAACATTTTTAGACTGCTGATGTTTTCTGTGTCACAGGACCACCACTGTGGTCCCCGAGTTCAATTCTTGGTCTGGGCCATACACGTGGAGGGTATGCCAGTAGGGTTGTTTGTTGGTTCTCTCCTGTGCCATGAAGGTTGTCTCTAGGCTTTCTGGTTTTCTTTCCCTCTGCCAAAATTGGCATTTGCAGTATCTTGTTGTACTCCATGCATAGATAAGGGTCATTTACCAGCTGCCCCAGGCACCTTTGCACCTGTGTGCCTTCAGCTATTCAGCGTGTAGCGCATTTGAACATACAGTATTTGTAAAAAATATGCACTTTACAAATGACATACATGTAAATAAATTATTTGTGTCTGATGGAAAGATTGTAGAAATTATTTGGCTTGTTTTGTGTTGCATGTTTGTTTCGGCAAGGTACAGAGGTTTCCTGTCTGAACTTTTCAAAGTTCTGATGTTTAGAACTTTCACTTGATTGGAATTGTGCATGGTTCCCACAATGCATTGTTGCTCAAAATAATGCTACTGGTACGTGTGCCTTCCACTGAACTTCTGCAAGGGGCTGGCAACCCTCTAATGGGTTCATGCATTTTGCACTGGTCATGTACCTCGACATGTACATGATGTACTAGTACCTGTACAATTCAAAGTTCTGTTTCAAAAACAAAACTTATCTGTGGCGGTAGTTAGTGTGAGTGAGAGATGCAGAAACCTGCACACCTTGAACCTTGCCGTATCAGAGAACAAGAGGGCTCCCTTCATTTGATTGAGCCCTGCCTCTGGCTTGAGGTGAACTGTTGAATAATGAGATGCACAACAGTGAGTCATAGGAACATCCTGTCCACTCTGTGGACCTTGGATAGCTGTCACTGCTCAGTTGGTTCAAACTGTCATGGTTCAAGGCACCTAAGCATAGCTATAAATAGGACCGGCAAATTCTATAAATAGTGAGCTCTATGATATGATACTGCAGAGGTTTCCCATACAGCTGTATGACCAACTCTTGTCAGCAGGTTGAAGTTTGTTGTGCTTGTTTGTGGAATTTCCAGACAGCCGGTCTTGCTTCTTTAAGAGGCGCAAGCATTAAGTGTCCTAGTTTTAGAAAACTGTGCTTTCTACATGTAGTTTCTATTGGATCCCAACCCCCTTGGACTACAAGTATATGTACATGTACCTGTACATGTACCACTCTCATTAGCAAAGAAGAGAGAAGCTCTTGGGAAATCTTTTAACATAGGGGTCATGCATGCACAAAGTGGATATGCCCTCAAATAGTGTGCTTATTCTTGAATTGTGATGGGTGCTTTGGTTTCACAGTAAATGTACATGTACATGTCTGTATGTTGTGCGCATGCGGTTGATGCATTGGCCAGTGCTGTATTTCTTGTAGAAATCACACATAAATAAATGGCTAGCAATGCACATTTCAGTAGCTTGTACATGTATGTGTCTCTGTTGTTGCTATAGAAACAGGGATTCAGGATTTGATGCAATTTCAGGAGAGACCATAAGGTTCATGTACATGTACATGGACAAGTAGGCATGCAAATCATTATCTTAACTTAATAACATCACCACTCTGCTCATGAGTATGCAGATTATTATTAGCTTAGAAAACAGATTGGAAGTTGACGAATTTAACAGCTTTTAAAATTGATCCATGAAAACCTACATAAACCCTAACAGTCCCAAATCCTCCAATTTCAATACGACTTTAAATACACCCTTGGGGGTTAGGGTTAATTAACACCGTTAATATGCTAAATAAGAAGTATTTTTTTTGTGAGAGTAGCACGGCCTATTGCAGCTCAAAGCCACAAGTTACATGCACCGGTACATGCAGTTTACTATGCTGATGAAATTAGGGAAGGGAGGAGACTGTTACTTTCAAGGGGACGGGTAACAATACGGAGTGTTCAAATGACCATCAGCAATATGCACTACACAGTGCAATGCGCGTCAAGTACATGTTTATTTATGTACATTTACATTTGACTGCTTTGATTTCAGTCTACACCCAGTGAATCATTTTTTCACTATTTTTCTTTTACTCTGTGTGTCAAAGATCACAACAGAAGCACCATGGCCTTTTGGCCAATCAGCTGAGAAGTGAAGAATGAAGTGTGTGGACTTGTCCTATTTTAAGCCTGCGAGAAACCCCTTTGGCCCCCATGTTTGTGCAACATCCGCACAGATGCCGTGCGCGCACCACTCGCAAAAATTAGTTCCATGCCCTCGGAACCGGTAGGCACACTTCCTCTGTTGACTCTGCATTCAGTCTTGTCACAAGAGTGAGTCACTCATTTCTGGTAAGTCGTTGGCAGCAGAACTTGGCCAGGGTTCGTTCCCACCCCTTCCCCCCTTCTCTTTTCCACCGTGCAGAATGCACAGATTTGTGACGCATGACTCCGAGACGGGAGTCTGCACCTCTTGAGTAGGTGTTGCTACTGATGTTCCTAGACAGGCAGCGCATTAGCACAGTTCCATGTAGACAGGCCTAGGATGTCGGGTATTACACGGTGCTTGGCCATCGCAGTTGTCACTCCAGGAGGTGTATGTGTGCAGTACGTTGACCGTGTGCTGGACACAGCTGATCACTTGAGTACATGTGTGGGGACTCTGGATGGTAGCTGGTGTCCCCTGCCCAGAGGGTGCTTTGGCCAAGCGGAGTCAGGAGAACGACTTCCATGCACAGCGTGAACATCTTTACCAGGGCTATCAGAAAGATTTCTGTTTGGTTTAGAGTCTTTTGTGTGTGTTCAATTTCATGCAACTGGTCCATGCTAATGTACAGCTTGGTGACCACAAAGTAAATTGTATCTTCAAGGAATCCAGTGTGGACGCTGGCCCTGGTTGATAGCCATGTACGGTACATACATGTACATTGTGCATGTAACTTTGCTGCCAGTATGGGTAAGGAGCTGTACATGTACAAGTTTGACATCTGACGCAGCTAATGGGAGAAACTACATGTATGTTCACTCTTAATACAGCAGTAGAGAAGAGAAGATTCTTCCAAGGATTACCAGTTGGCAAGAAGGATCACTACTATTCCTTAATGAAAGTCCAGTTTCTACATTGAACAGCACTCTGGTCCATTGCCTTCACAGATTTACACCGTGTGAAACTCAAAAGTGTAAATTCTATGCTTGGATAGATTGATCCTTCAGTTGCCTGTACATGTATCTTGTACAAGCCCATGCGTGCTGTGGAGTTTGTTCTTAGACCGCTGTTCACTTCGTTATGACATACATGTAGGGGAGATCAAAAGTCGGAACTAGCTTATTGAATTTCCTGCCTCAATCCACTGTTTTAATGTGTCTCTGCAACTTCAAGTGTCAGGATTGCCCCTCTGCCAAACAAAGTGAGCAAGTGTATGATGCCCACGGACTCGCAGGAACATTTTTATGTGAACATCTCTGCAATGACCAGGTTAGACCAGGAGATGTCCGAAGCTGACGACGACAGTATGGGTAATATGAATTCGGAGGTTTTTGAAGCCATGCCGTGGTCACAGTCATTTCTGGTGAGTTCATTTGGCACGAGTGGCTGGCTTTAATGAGGGCCATTGCGTGATGGCCCCCTTTCAACCTGAAGTCAGCGCCATGACTTGTTGGGTGACGTGCACACAGAACACATTATAAGCATTGGCCATAGGTGCAAGGTACTGTACCCACAATGCTTAGTGCTTTTGTGTAAGGAATATGCCCATGGATAAGGGTGTGAGCACATCTACATGTACGTGAAAATAACAATCAGTGGGTGTCATGTGTGACCATTGCCTTTTGAAGACAATGTTTTGTTAAATTCCCTAACTCTAGAAGGCTTGGTTTTTTGTGTGGGGGGAGCCATTTCACTGCCAGATTGGACTATTGTCCTCCAAGATCCTGGCTGTCCCATGACCAATCTTTTTGAAACAGAACTTGTCTGTAAAGTGCATCTGTCAAGTTTTAATTCAGTCCTGTCAAGGGATTTTGTGGATATGTTTGTTGTACGGTGTACATGTTGTAAATCTTTAAATAGGCTCATTCCATTCAAAGGGGAAGCATTTTTAGTAACTTTTTTCCCCGAATTCATATACTCCCAGCTTTAATGGCATGTGAACTTCTGACATTTGGCTGGTATGGTAAGTTCACAGTACAAGTTGCTATGGTGACTTGGTGATTGAGTGTGGTAGCAGTGAATCGGAAGGGAACGAATTTGTTCTGTATCACTTGCCAGTACCGCAGTGACAATTTAGAGATTGAATTTTTTACAGCTGATTTTCTTGGATTTGTGAGTAAATTGAGCTGTGGTCACAGGGAAATGAAACAGGATGTGTCTGGTTCAACATACATGTAGGATAAAAATCTAAATGCTACACAAGGTGGTGTCAGGATATTCCCTAAATGAACATCTTCTGAAATTTTACTTCACATCTGTTTTTTCACCAATATCCGATGTTGCAAAATTTGGCGAACAATTATCGAAAGACTAGCTTGTAAAAATCTTTAATCCATGGATTTCAAGATTGGCATTTTCTACAGCGAGCGAAGAGGATCCTCTCTGCTTAGTTGTTTCAATTCAGATCTATTCACTTTGCACAGCAACAAATGAGGGCACTGTTTGCTCAATCTCATTGAGAACAAGTATGGGCACTGACTGTGGTACCTTAGTTTTACCAGGTGCAGTCCATGTGAATTGTATGTACGTGCACATGTACATTGTACTGGTACCATATACACGTACTTGTTTACTTATTGTACATTGTACATGTGCAGTATGTACAACTCCCAGAGTGCGCACAAATCATAGCATTCATACTTTGCACATTCATGTACATTGTGTTCCCTGTTCAAGCCTGAGGATCTAAACCATTGTAACGTCACCGATGGCTGAAGGTGTCCACATTAGACCGTATTGTTGTACCTGTATGTGTAAATGTACCTGCACTGCACCCAAAGAATATATGCATACCTTTTTAAGTGGCAGTGTCTTCAAAAAGAATTTCGTTTGCCGTTTGGCATACATCTCCCTGAATCCTCAAAACAGTATCCTCCATTAGGCAGGCAGTTTTTTCTCTTCTATGAAGTACTTTAAAAGCTGTTCCAACAGTGGATGGGTTAATTCTTCCTCAATCCTGAAAAATCCTCTAAAGCCATCTGGTGGATCTTGAAGGGTCTAGGAGTGTCAGGGTGATGAAAGAGGTTTTTGGCACATGGTAGTGGTACATTGACATGTATCTTGCACTTTGGGGGTTTGTTTGCACTTATCAGCCATACATGTACATGTACATGTTGTACATGGCGGCTGGTAACGTTCAGGATATTGATCAGTCAGAGATTAATCCCAGAAGGTCTTGACCTCAGGCACGTCCCTAGTGAGCGGAGGTGACAGCAAGTTCATGGGTGCAGTCCTGCTTTCTTCTTTTCAAATTGACCATGCATAACCACACAGTTGTGGAACCACAAATTGCATCGACCCCGCAGTAAAAGTTTTTTCTCCCAAGTTGCCTTCTGCACAAAGGCTAAGTTTGTTTTTCACACAAGACTACACCAAGTATGGCAGGAACACATGCCTTTTGGAAGTCAGCCCATAACCATAGTTTGAATCCAGGCAGCACACTAGTGTGTGTACTGCACTGTGTACATGTACATCAAGCAGGTCTTTGATCTGTACGTGTACATGTGCTGGTCCCCTCATGTGACTTACACATCTGGGAAAGTAACATTTTTACAATTGTTATCGATTATTTATTAATACACACTGTAGGTTATAAATCCTGATTGTTGAGTTGACAAGTGGACATTTGTCAAGAGAAAATTAAATGTCTGTACCTTATCCTAAGAAAAGTTCTAGTTCACAATGTAACCCATTTTCCCTAGAACAAAGTGATCAGTTATCCTTCCTAGGTAATGTACAGGTACCCATTTGTACCCATTGGTTATACTGTACATATAACACACATACTACGTGTAGTACATGTACATGTACATGTACGTACTGCCACCACACATGTAATTTTGCGATGGTATTTCTCTGGGACCATGATACCTGCCAAAGGTTGTCTAAAGCACATGGATTGTTCTGCTGTCTGTTCTTTTGGTCAGCTTTGCAATGACATGTAAAATCTGAAAAACTAGAATAACTGTCTTTTTCACATTTGTCCTTCAAGCGCGTTGAAGGGCAGTTGGTCATAATGGTAAATTAAATGTTCAGTTGTTGCGTGCTTTTTAGTGTGCTGGTCCCAAAATACAGTGGTACATGTACATATGTATGAAGCATCTGCATATTGGTGCCGGTATACTCATGTACTCAGTGTACATGCTTGTACCACTAGCACTTGCAAATTCTTAGGTACATGTTCACACCTTGACCATGTTTATTGGTCAAGTTTAACACATTGTACTGTACTATCATAGGAGATTCCCCCAGCAACAGTTTTGCAATACTATGTTCTGTCCAAAGATAATCAACTCATCAAAAATTTCAAAATGACAATCTATGCCTAATATTTTGTCAGCGCCTTTGCATGGTATAGGTTTCTGGCTTCAACAAATATCCGATCAAATTCTAAACAATGACACTGCCTGTAGGGTATGATTGTGCTATTGTTATTTTCTTTCTTGCTGAAATTCCTCTGTGGCGTTCAACCCTACATCCTGTTTCTCCAGTGGTACATTTCATGCTCTGAAGAGTCTTCAATCTTTTGGGTTTCTTATAAAGTGTGGGGGGGGTGCCTGTAACAAGTTTGACAAAATGTTGACAAATTAGAATCACTGATTCATATCGAGGAAATACATTTAGTCAAAACAAAACAGGGAAAATTGACACTTGCATTTCACAACCAAACTGGGACTGAGATGGATTAGTATGCAGTTTAGGACCATTTCTGCTTTGCTGAAAACGACGAGCAGAGTTTTTCAAACGGAACGGCTTAATTCTGTGGAGAAAAGTCTGGCCTTTATCTCAGTAATTTTCTTTATGGGTGCGTCACTTAGAGGAACAGGAGTACCTGAAACAAGTGTACATGTAAGTACTGTATCTCCTTGCAGAATTGTCAGCTGCACATGTACATGTACCTTTACCAGTCATATTTGTGTGCCCATCATTGATGGGTTTTCAGCTAGTAAAAAAGCAGTTTGGAAAACTGTCTGTTGAGCTTGGAGTTTGTATTTTGTCGCCAAGTTCATTCTTGTTAAGTGTACGTTGAGGTCATTTGGAAAAGACAGTTGAAGTGCCTGTCATCCAACTACATTGTACTGGTATGCTGGCAGTTTTAAATTATGATAATATAACGACATTGCTGCTCAAGAACAATGAGGAATAAATTGAACAAGGCTTTCAGTGGAGAGATGTAGCTGGGGAAGGTGCATTTGCTGCTGGGGTTTCAACCAAGTACATGTACTCTACCATGTCTACTGAATTTAAACATGGTTACGGAGGTACTGAACTGATAAAAGTAACCCCAAAACTCAGGAAGATTGTGTTAAAAATCCATTCAAATTGCCAGTTCTTTCAAGTGGTCATCAACAACCTTTGGAACATGCGCATGAAGAGTGGAATCTGTTTCATCATTGCCTTGCATTATGCCAGCATTGGGCATTGTGTTTACGTTTTCCCACAAGACCTTTTGAAACATTTTTTTATCGTCTGAATTACTTGATAACTTGCAAAGTTGACTACGGGTATGTATTTGCATAATTTCGAACAGGTTCCCAACATCAACAGTTGGGTACTCTTGTGTCAGGTTCCAATGCAAAACCCAAAACAGGCAGTGCTTGTCTTTTGGCAATACTTGTACCTTATACATTTAAGATCTGAATTAACTGAGACACAGTACACAGTTTATATCTTGTTGACTGCAAGGTCAACATTTTAACTACTCCCTACATTGTATTGTGTGTAGTCAGGCTGGCTGGCATAATCATTCTTCTATGCTGTCTACCCTCACAATCCCTTGGTACACCAAATAATTTGGTTTCCTCTCTCTCTCTGTGGTTACTTCTTAAGAGGGTTTTCTTTGAAAGAAGAATTTTAAAAAAATGTACATGCTGGGGTTTTCTTGCTACACTCACGACTGACTTCAGCTAGGTCTCCAAGTCTTCTCTTTGATTCATGGTGTTTATGCTTAGGTTGTAGTTTGGTGAATTACTTCACTTGTAAGCGTCTTTGCTCGGCTGAGAACTACATGTAAAAGGTACACGTACATTGTAAATCAAGGAATAAAATACACTCATCTCCCGCCTGTGATCCTGCCTCTTCCAATAATTGATTACAGTTTTGTCCATTAGTCATGTAACTATTCTGGTACACATCATTTATACAGGATGGTTTTTTTTTTCATTTTTAGCCACAGGAATCATAATATTCAGTATCTTATAGATATATACGGTGGCATGCACTGCTCTAACAGACATGTTACATTTAATGCTCTGAAGAGGCATGCTCCTACAGTGGTACAGCTGGGGATTGCTTGCTATTAATAAACAGACCCCGTCACTTTCGATGAATCAGCTGAAAGTCAGAATATCCGTTCCTGCACTTCGTTTGACGTCTCCGCTTGGATGAATGTACTAAGTCGCACATTTCTGCAGTAAATCCTGTATGCTATGAAGCTACTCAAGGAAGACATTTTGTCAAACACTGCTGCCAAAGATCACAGAATTTAAATCTGCCATACATGTAGCTGTTTTATATTATTATATGATCTGGCACACACCCAGAAATACAAGTTTTGTAGGGGACCATTTTGCCAGAGATACTCTTTTGGTTGTATAGAGGGTACGCAGTTTGGACATTATTCAAGCCTTCCTCAAAGCTCAGTGTTACCCTGAAAGGGAATGTGGAAGTGCATTTTTGGTAGGGTGAAGAATTATGTATGATTTATTTGCTGTAAACTTGAAATTTGAATTTGTCCACGTTTATATTTTGTATCCAACAGCTTCGGGAGCAAGAAGTTGAGAGGACGAAAAAATGGCTGAAAATGATGAAAGACTGGAAGCGATACTATCCCAGTGAAAAGGTGAGGTGAAAATAAGTGGTTGTGCTGGGAGTCAGATGCCAAGTACATACATGGGAATGATGTCATGTTGGGGTTGAGGAAGATGGGATTGAGATCAAATGGGAATTTGGGGATGAGGATGATAGAATGAGATTAAATGCCTGTTGATCTAAAACACAGTGATGCCATGCTTTGTTTACATGTGCATTGTCCTATAAAGGCCCAGTGGATTTTGCCCCTGTTCACTGCCATAGGAAAGCTCATATGGAAACAAAGTGTGATGTCATTGTGTTGTGGGATATTTTTATAATGGAAATGGGACTGAGTTCAAATCCGAAGCTGGGAATGAGGATGATTGGAATCTCAGTTGATTTTATGGAATGGGATGATAGGATTTAGGTCAAAAAGTCTTGTTGGAAATGAGAATGATAGGAATAAGATCTCACATCACAAAGAAATTGATGCCAATAAGGTCAGATGTCAAGAATGGGAAGAGGATGGTTGGATTGAGGTCAAGTTTCAGAAATGCATGAGAATGATGGGATTGAGGTCAAATGTCAGGAATGCATTAGGATGATGGGATTGAGGTCACATGTCAGTAATTTCATAGAGTGCAGTCCATTAATTCAAGTCCCATTGAAAACAGTGTAAAGTCAACCACTTTCTGGGCTTAATAACTTGCATGTTTCTCAAACAAAAATTAAATTATTATTGCGTCCTTAGCCTTTCCATTTCTTTTCACTTTTTAATGGGTTAGCCAATTACAATTTTTACTCACACAAAGCAAACCCACTCCCCCCAAAGGTGAACTTTCACAAGCCTGCATGCAGCCATTTTGCACATTGATTGCCTTTATTTCTTGCGCACTGAGGGCCATTGTTTCATCCATAACTTACTTAACTCTGCCCCAGATGGAAGCCCCCAAGCCCACAGAGTTGATTCTGGCCTGCATTTCCACAATCCTTCTGGGTTTTTTTCAAAGCCAAACAATCTCCTTTTTCAGTAGAATCTGTGGGGGCCTTTTTTTATTGATGAGCTCAGCAGAGATTATGACTTGAATTGCAGCCAAGATAAGGATAGGATGAACGTCAAATGTCAGGATTGCAAGAGGATGATATTGGTCAAATGTCGGAAATGCAAAGATCTATGGGATTGGATTGAGGTTGGAGCTCTTTGTAGTTCACTTGTACAATGCATGTACAGGAAGGCTCTTGCCGTAGTGTTTCTATCTGAACTGTGTCTGTCATTTCAGTTGACGAGGCGAGTCTACAAAGGGATCCCTGACAAACTGAGGGGCAGTGTCTGGGCTCTGCTACTAGACCTGAAGAAGGTCAAAGATGAACAGCCAAGCGTGTACGAGGTGAGAGGACATTTCTCTTATCCACGGAAATTTTTTATCCAGTCATTTGCCTTTGGCACTCCATTTCTCCAAAAGACCATTCTTTGGTTAGGCAGTGTTTTGCTGTATTTATGTCTTGTAGAGATCAACAGGTAACTCAGGTTGGTTCAGTTACATGTACATGTACATATGTGCATGAATATGTCATTGGTTTCTTGCGCATTTTTAAAGATTTTGTAGGATAAAGGAATGTTCCCTGATTAAATGGCCAGAAGAGTTCAGGGTTAAATTAAGCATGCGGCTGTCCCTTGTATCCAGTTGATATCCTGTTTATATTTCCCCACTCTCATTCTCTTGTGATGTGCAAGATTAAAGTTGATCCCAAACAGAAATTTTAGAGAAACTATGGTCATCAGTACCGCTGGGCAATTAGTGACTATTGCTAATTGATTAATCACACACGAACTAATCGTGATTAATCGTTTAATCACGAGTAGTGGCAAAAATTCTGAGACGTAGTGTCAACACGTGAATATGGTGCTTTCATTAGTTTCATTGCAGAAATTCTGCACAAGTATAATGCACACTATGCAGCAGCAAGTGCCAGGGCAAGTTTATGTTTCTGCTTTTATGTTATTTCATTAATTCTGAAATCTGGAAAGCCAGTGGCAGTATTTTCTGTATCTGCTATAAAATTATCATGATTACTGGAACGGTTGCGGCTTGAGCTCCAGTTGGATCTGAGTACATACGACGACTACATGTGACCAAGGGCCATTTTTCAACTTCGTCTCTGTCTAAGGCTTTGTCTATAAAACCAATTCCTAATTGTAGGCCTGAAGCATTTTAATTAATTTGAAGTACTGTAATGTTTGGCTCTTTTGCATCTAACTTGATATTTTGTGGAACTGTCAGACTTACTATTATGTTAACAACTTCTTCATGAATATAAAGTATGACGGTTCAGGCATTACTCATCGGACCCACCAAGCTAGTTATTCTACAAACCCTTAACTAAGTGTGGAAACAAAAATTTGAAACAGGAACTTCCAAAGTTTTGTGGATGGGGCAGCAAGGCTGTTCTACATTTACTTGTTCCAGTCACAAAGTTCAAAACTCCAAGACACAAAATAACTAGCATCCAAAAATGGATCTGTGCGTAATTTGAAACATCTAAATTGTTCGGAATGAATTTATGAACCCATGAACTACGAGTAATTTACCTCCTTTCAACATGACACAGAAGCCTTGGATACTTGCAGTTGGCAACTCTTGCTACATTTTTGGACTAAGGTTAATAGTAGGAAAGGCTAAAGTTCGTTGAACTGAACTGCCGCCGGCCCAGTCGACCACAAGTCTGTCAGTGGAGACTGCCGAAATAAAGCAGATGTGCCCTGGATCATGATCATATACAGTGTGGTAGTGTGTGTAACTTAATCGGTACTCCATTACAATCACTTCTCATTTTTCTACAGTTACTACATGTAATTGTGCTGCCGCGATTAATCGATTAGTTGCAAATCCACGAGTAGTGAAATGAGCAGAAGGCACTATTATGATTAATCGAGATAATCGCCCAGCGGTAGTCATCAGCAATAATGTAGTTGCCCTGTCTTCTCCCTCTTCTGGACCAGTCTTTGTAATCTTATTTAACAGAGAATGCGAATACGAGCACGCAAACTTTCACCGGACATACGGCAGATTGACCTCGACGTCAACAGAACATTCAGGAATCATATAATGTTCCGAGACCGTTATGGAATTAAACAGCAGGCGTTATTCCATATACTTGCTGCCTACTCCATGTACAACACGGTGAGACAATTCTTTGTGCATCTGTCTGCTAAAGTCTTGTAGTTCAGTTCTCCAATTCTGTATATTTGGTTTGTTCCTGACTCCTTTTTGTTTCTATACAACTTGTATGCATGACCTGCTCTATCAAAGGGGGGGATATTATACATGTTACATGATAAACAAAATGCTTAGTTGGTACATTAAAGAAAATGCAAGTTTGTATCCAAATGGATTACAAGTTGTTATTGTTTCCATTTGTGTTTGCTGTACTGGTCAAAGATCAAATATGTATCCATTATTTTGTAGTGGAAATCCACAGAAAAAGTGTTATCAGGGATGTGAGAGTTCAGCTTTTTAGCTGATTTCAGCTTTTTTTGTTTAGATGTTGACCTGGAATTTTAGCTTTTTTTGTATATCTAGTCTGCACAAAAGCACTGGCACTTTTAATATTTCAGTTTTTTGCTAGCTGTTTTCAGCTTTGAGTTGAACTGGCTGCTCACACCCCTGTGTTATGTAATAATTTAAAATGAAAAAAGGTGGGATGAACTGACTTCTCAATCCTAGCAGATCATGGATCAAAACATCAAGCCCTCCAACTTTCTGACTCGTATTTTGGGTCACTGCAGCCAGCAAGCAGTTTGTAGCAGTTCTTGCATTATTACATGGCACCGCAAATACCACAGAATTTTATTTCCCCCATTTATGACTTCAGTGTGTAGCCAATCTGTCAAAGCTCATTGGTCAAGTTCACTAAGTGATCGTATTAGTGCTGTGGAGGCTGTGGGCCGGAACCCGCTTGTGAAAGCTTGTAATGTTATAGTCACAAGCTTTTGGAGATAACCAGTCACCGCTACAAAGTGGTCTTTGGATTGCCGTTTGGATGGGCTACTTCTACCCTTCTTATCAACTACATGTACATGTCAGGAATCACGCTGCCCATTTTACCAGTACCCTCAGTGATCCTGTTATGACTTTGTCCTGATGTTTTCCAAAGGCAGGACCAAAGTTTTCAATTGAAGTGCTGTTGGTGAAAGATTGTCTCCACCTCACAGTCTTCATTCGATTCCAATTGCAGCAGAGTTTTCAGGCAACAAGCAATCTATTTAAAACAAGACCGGTTCAAAAGGTCCAACCAAAGGACCAGTGCACCAACTGACAGTTCTGAAGATAGCTTTCTTGAACTAGTTTGTTGAGGAGGTCCAAATCTATCACACTCACCCAGGGAACCAACAACATCAATACCACTGATGCCAACTTGATCATGTCACTCAGTGACACTGTGATTCCCTTTAGGTGGTTTTCGTACAAACCTCAACTATGCCAGTCTGTTTGTTTTTCTCACTGTCTTTTCCCTCATTGGCTTTTTTTGGGGGGGGTTCCATTGTCTGTTTCAGGAGGTTGGCTACTGTCAAGGCATGAGTCAGATTGCTGCTCTGCTCTTGATGTATCTGAACGAGGAAGATGCATTCTGGGCCTTACATGCCCTGCTGACGGACACGAAGCATGCTATGCATGGTAAGTCGCATTCAGCGTGCTCATTTCTCCGGATCCATTCAGAAAGCTAAGACTGTCTTCCTCAAAGCAAACTGATGGAAAAGGCTTTGACCAACTGCGCTGATGAACAAAAATTCCGAATGAATCACGGAAATCCTCTGTATATCGGTAACAGCACACTGTTCATTTTTCAGACTTCAATACAGTGCCTCATATACATTATAGTTTTAAAAAAGTTATTGTCTTTCTGCAGGCTTCTTTATACCTGGTTTCCCGAAGTTGATAAGGTACCAGGACCACCATGAACGCATCTTGAAAAAGTTCCTCCCTAAAGTCAAGAAGAACTTTGTAAGTAATCAAGTATGAATCGGCCTTATCTCTATAAGTTATAATGTTGTTTCTAATTTGAATTGTTGGCATCAGTCATTGCTAAAATATATGCCCTTACACACGTGGCAAATTCGGTTTGGGGGAGTGGTTTGGGGGATTGGAATTATTTTTATAGGCAACCATTGTTGAAGCAAATGTGGACAGATTTTTACAGAAATACTTGCTTAGACATAAGCGGTTGCCACCCCCATGTCATGTATTGAATATTTCTGGTCTCAGAATCTCAGCTGATTGTGCTTGGTTACATTAGGGAGAAATGCCAAAAAAAAGTGGAGATTCTTAGATTGGGAGGCAGGATGTAAATCCCAGAGGGAAGGTGGAAACTGAGATGAAACTGAAAGTGATTGGTTAAGATTGGATGTGAACATAAATGCTGACTTAGTGAAACTCTGGGAAAATTTCTACACTGAGGATTTTATAAATAAAAATAAAAGTACAAATAGTACAGATCATTAGTACAATTTACATATAATGTAATAAATCAAAAGAAAAGTCAACAAAACTCTTTACAAAAATAAAATAAGAAGACTATAAATGAAAATAAACAAAACCGAATACAAGACAAATATAAGGAAAGGAGTATGTCACTTTATTTGAAAATCTATAAATAGTCAAAATACTAACATGGTAAATTGAACATTGCAAAGAGAGCATCAATCGCCAAAATGGTTCTCAGTTCTCATTTTGCATGAAGTTGTAACAATTTAATGCTACTGTTACAATTTCTGTGTCTAATTAATTAAGTTGGATCCGTGTCAGTTTTAAAGAGAGTACAGTTTACTGTTGATAAAATCAACACTTTTTGTGGATAGAGTGACATTACAAGAGTGGTTTTAGTGAAAGAAAGCCCCATGCGGGAAAGGCCAAATAGTTTCCATACAAAGCCTTCACCCAAACTCTTATTGGTCTTCTTCTCTTTGCTGGTCTGAATCCCTGCCCCCCTCCCTACAACCTTTCTTGTCAGGACAAGCTGGAGATCCACACCAGCCTGTACTCTATGAAGTGGTTCTTCCAGTGCTTCCTGGACCGGGTGCCGTTCTCACTAACGTTACGCCTCTGGGATATCTACATGCTGGAAGGTGACAAGATCCTGGTGGCCATGTCTTTCAATCTCATGAAGATGCACCGACGTAAGGCACCAGCCGAATTGTTAGGCATCCTGGCAGAAAGGGACAGAAATGGGCATGAATTGACAAGAGGATTTACGGGTATCAGGGAGAAAAAAATTGTAAAAATATCATTGATTGCACTGTTATCATGAAGATTCCAGTGACAAGTTACGGGCTGTTTGAAGTTTCCATTCACTGACGTGAAAAAAGTAAAATACTGAGAAAAATGGTATTAAAGCTTTCAGTTTTGTACTTGTGATGATGAAGGATGCCTGTGTTTTTTCTCCTTGACACTTTTATTCTTTTTTTCATGCCCTCAAAATATTTGAGGTAGACATTTCAAAGATGAGAAAACAAGTTGATCTGAAAAATATTTTCCATTTGGTTTTTGGTCATTTTTCTCCACTGCAGTCTCTGCCTAGGTCTGTCTTATTTTGCCAGAATCACTAATCCTTAAAAACTTGAGCAGTTTAGCTCTTTAATTTGATACAGCGCTGGTCACTTTTATACATGATAGTGTACCCATCTCACCTAGCAAACTGTCTCATGAGGGCACTTATAGCAGTTCCCACAGTTAGCAGGTGCTGATACATACATGTATTTATATGGACATTTTCTAACTAGTGCCTGTTGAGTGGTATGCTCTTCATAATCTCATAGTTGAAACTTACTTTTTTGGTTTGTTTAATTACCACCACATGCCAGAAGACACATAAACACAATCTGGCTGTCTAGAACACAGGCATGGCCTGTTGATTAAAAAGTCAGGCATGCTTCAAATTACCTCTGACTAATGCTAAAAATCCCTCATTGTCCGTTTGTTTTATGCACACAAAAAAGTCGAAGAGGTCTGATTAGGTGAACTGTTTCTGAACTTATAAGCTGAACTTGCCTGCTGTGTATGGCCCGTTGTGGTAACAAACATTGCTATGTGTGTTGAAAAAGTTGAGGTTTTGTCAAGAAATATTGTACAAATACTGCTCAAATGATGCTTTCAAATTGATATTTGTGGTGTTTGAGTGTGTCTCAAAACTTTCTGCTAAACTGTCTTTTTCAAAAGTTAAAATTTTCAGCCAAAAATAATACGCACTGTAAGTGGTTAATGGAAAGGTGACACTTGTTTCCTTTAGTAGCAGTGGTGTCAGTGACGTGTAAGACAGCTGATAATGAGTGTCTCAAACATGAAGCATAGAGATGCTGGCACTTGAGATGTTCGTGTACTGTAGCCAAATCATAACTGATCTTATTTCCTTGTTTTGTGACTGTACATGGCAGACCAGGGGAGGAAGGATTGTGAATTACAAATGGCTTGTGCAAAACGTTGCTTATCTTTCTGCATGTAACTGTCATATTGGGTATGACAGCACATAACTACACACTTAGTGACGGAAATAAACTTGAGAGTTACTATTCAAATTTATGTTGGGTTCAGAGGCCGTTTCCCTGTCGGAATAACAAAGACTTCCCACTTGTGTTGGAATTCTTAGCACTTGTCAAGAATGAAATCAAAGTTGCTTTGTGAAGTTAATGAGTGGAGTCTCACCGACTGTCTTTGTTACACAGGGATGATGCTGAAGAAAGACATGGAGACGATTGTCAGGTACCTCCAGGAGCGACTCGTTGATGACTTTGGCTTCAAAGATGATGAAGTCATCGAGTCACTACAAGAAAGCATAGCAGGTAGTACAATGGAACATGTAAGATGCAACCAAAATAATTCCAGCTCGGTATACCTGTACCTGTTTGCTGTGTTTTGCAAAGAGATGCAACTATTTTTATTTTAAATTAGGCAGGAAAGACCAACATAGCATTGGAATTCAGATGCATCTGAGGTTGCTAGAATCAAGATTGGTCCTCAGGCAAATCTTGCATGGTGGAATTCATCAGAAACATTCCAAGTTTATGCCCAAGTGTTGGTATGTTGCCAGTATGTCCAGGGAACTGATACATTTGATCACATCGGACAACTGGTTACACCCTTCTTAATTCATGTGACAAATGTAATTTATCAAAAGATAAAGCTAAATTTGTTAAGGTTGGCTTTGCAAGATCCGTTTGCCTGTATTTTAATTGATTGGTAAAGCTCACTGTACTGGCTCCACACCAGAATGCATTTTGCATGCTTTCTTGAACTTACGGCAGTTTCTTGAACTATTTGGCAAACAGGTAATGAAAATATGTTGCAAGTCTCCCCAATTCCTTCTGCATTAAATGCCTTCAAAGAATCATACACAATCAACAGGAGGTCTCATATGTTTTTTGCCTACAGTGAATATAATGCTTGTTTTCATCAGGTTGCTGTTAACTGAGTGAGTCCCAGAGATGCCAACTTGTACGATCTAGGCATAATTTTATGATTTGTTTAGTCCGTTTACAACTGTACAATCCAGACTGAGATTTTTACGATTTCCAACTCAAAGGTACAAAACGGTACAATTGTGTATAAACTCTACGTAAGCTAGCATGGAACCGGCCTCCTAATGCGCGCATCAGAAATGTGTCGCTGGCATCCCGTAGTTTGTGCGTACAAGCTGCGTGAGGAGTGGTAGAAACCAGGGTGATTGAATCATCTGTTTGCCCCAATTTACGCTATGATGAACAGGGGAATAGGCACGATTGCACTTAAATTGCAACCAAATTGTGTACATGCATGCATTGTATATGTACCGATGTACACACGTGTGTCGAACATCGTGATTGGGCTAAAGTTGACCGGAGTGGAGGACTGTCAAGGATTTGATTTTTGGATATTTGGTGAGCAACTGGACTTGTTTTGCGCTGTGACAACAAGTTCAGGGACAACTACACCACAAAAATGGGCCTTTGTTGCAAAGTCTTGTCGTGGAGAAGGTTATGTGATTTGCAACACATGTAATTGTGACATGATAAATATTGCTCACGCTGGGTCTTATGACACATTAGTTAGGCCAAGAAAATATAGCTCTGCTTCTGATGAAAAAGGGTCGGTAGGTAAGGATTTTTGGACAATTTTTAGTGCTGATTGAATGAGACGAAAGTTGCCAAAAATTGCCACAAAAAGTGATTGAAATTAAAAAAAAATCAATAGTTAATTACAATTCACACTTGCACAATGTTAGTCAGGTAAATACAAGTATTTTGACATGAAAAGAAGCTGTTGATGGGTGTTTGTTTTGAAAAAAAAGGCAACACCTTTTTTTACTTTTTAAAAAATGTTTTCTAATTTGCCAATGAAAATTTTTAGGGTCGCGCCGAAAAATTAGGGGTTGGTCGGGAAAAGTTGGCATCTCTGGAGACCTCAAAATAATGGGAGTCTTCCAGTTCCTCATACATGTAACAAAAAAGGTCTCTCTGCAAAATGGCATTACATGTCATGGAAATGCATTGTCATATTTTAGTCCTGGAAAGTCTTGGATAACTCAGCGAAGGCGGTTTCAGATTTCCATGGGAACACTGTACATTTTTAAACATGTGACAGTGTTCCCACAGTGAAAAGAAACCAAGTCAAGGAAACTGTCCGTGAATATCCAGCTCAAATGGTATCCACAATGCAAAAGAAAAGACTGTTTCAATCAAGATCCGGTACATCTTTAAAGTATGGTAATCCATCACTCTTCTAGATCTGAGACGGGCCAAGATGATTATGCCGCCTGCTCCCAAGACGTCAGAGCTGCCCCAGGTACCCTTTGGCCTAGCCAGAACCCCCAGCATCAGCCAGGCCACAGGGCTGCGCTCCCCAATGCCCCAGATGAGCAACGGCCGCGGCAAACAGGTAAAGAGGAGGGTCCGGAAACGCTAGGCGCACAGCACCCTTGTCTGACATTAATTTGTTTTTTAGAAAAGGGACAGAAGAAGTGACGCGGTCGCGCATGCTGTGTGGTTTGGTTTGTTTTTTGCATTTGGCATGATTAAATTGTTTTCTTGAATGGAATTGTGAAATGCGGTGATGTTCTTGTGCATTTCCTGGAACCGTCATTTGAGACAGTGAGCTCATTGCTTGCAGACAGTGCCAAAAAATACGTAGTTTATGGAAAATTTGTCTTAAGATCTGTCAAATCCTTCTTTTGTACAACCGTTTGCCTCTTAAAAGTTTCATTCATCATAGTCTTCACAGCAATAAAAGATATTACATTCTCATGTCAAGTTTTCAAATACTTCAGATTGTTCTAGCTAAATCTTTAAAGCTCATCTTTAGATTTGTGTGATACGTGCATACAATGTGTACAGCATAACTGAGAAAAGCCATGAATTCAGGTTCTGTTGCGAGGCTAATCAGCTGCTTGCTGATTAAGCGAAAGCACTCATTGTTGAGCCTGCATCCTCACACTGTCATTGGTACGAGCACGTACATGCACTGATGGTATTCTTGTCCAAGTCTTGGTTTTTCAGCCACCTTAACCGGTTATTTTCACCAGAATTAGGCAGCATTACACCAGACGCCAAGAAAAGGCCAACACTGTTTAGACTTCCAATTTGCCCATCTTGTTTTCTTTTCTTGTGTTGTTTGGGCAAAGTTAGCCGTAGAGAATGTTTTCATCTTTGTTAGTTTGTTGCCCCTGTAAAGGGTCATTCATATATAGATGAAGTTGCTCGCGTTAGTTCTGCAAGCCAAGGGTATCCCAGAAATTCAATTAACTGATTGCCCATCTTCCCACGTTTCATTTGTGAGTGACCACATGTACATGAGTGTGAAATCACCAACATTCCTTGCAAAAAAGCAACCGTCTTCTTTTCACCAAACTCTTAATTTTCTGGTATCAGGTGGTTTGTCCTCCTGCAGAAACCACTTTATGTTGATCCTACGGCAGGTCAAACTCACTGCACGAATCACAATGGGTGCCCATGGTCATGGGATATCCTAGGAAACAAGTTGTCCTGGATAGTCACCGAAAAATCCTCCAAAATTGGGAGGGGGGGGGAAATGGGATGTTCTTGATTTCTGTTGTCATGAAACAAAGTCATGGAAAAGACATGGAAATCAAGATTATGCCAGGGCATGATCATTCATGATCATTCATGGGCAGAATAATGATAAAGTTATAGGCTACCGGTATCCTTGTCAGTTTATGGTAGTGGCTATGGCAATCTTGTCATTCATAATACCAAACAACAAATGGCATTCAATGTCATGGAAATTATCATACTACACTACTCAAAAAAGTTTTTTATTTTGTGTATACTTTTTTTTATGTGAGATATTTTACTTCTGAAAATGTACATTTGATGTTTTGAAACAATTTTTTGTTTACATTTTATTCCAATGAGAATACCATCTAGACAAACAAAAAATGAAAGAACTGTACCCCTCTCATTGCTTGGAAAAAATTACAAGTTCAGAAAAAAGTGGTCCTTGACTTTTTTGAGTAGTATATTTTAGTCCTGGAAGACCCTAGAAAGGTCATCGAGCCCACTTTTCAGATCTCTGTGGGAACACTTTTACATTTTTCATCTTGGCCAGGATTAATTTCCAGCAAAATTAGTTTATGAACCAGATTTCTACACCCTTCCCTTGGAAAAAAAAAAGCAACGAAGGTCCTGGCGAGGATCCCATGTAATCCGTCTTTCCTGTCACTCTTGTTGTTTCAAGCCGTCTACGAGTAGTTCCTCCTCAATAGTTGGCATGGCAACGCATGATTCATGACATATACCTTAAATATCGCTTTCATGTAAGTTTTTGAATATTTTTCTCCCTCTGTCAAAACTATCATTTTGTCCATCATAAAAAAGTAGTTACTCTGTAATTTCTGATGATTTATTTTTCAAATCCATAAAACTTGTGACCAGAATGTGTAGTAATTACTAATTGCAATCATCTACTAATGGTGCATGATGTACATGTATGTATTGCATTCATTTGCGCATGGTGCGTCAGTATAAAGGAAAGTTCCTTTTTAAGTTCTTTTGATTTGCTACCTCCAACATCAGGTGCCTATTATGATTGAGTTTGACAATGTCAAAACCCTGCGCATTCAAAACGGAGGCAGACTGCATTCTTACCAAAGGCATTATCACGAATTCAGAAGTGTAGCAGTTGTATTCGGGCAGAAGTTAGTTTAGCGCATGCACTTTCAAGATGAACCCGCCAATCGTCATCCCTCCCAGATCCTTTGAAATCCACCAGGAATTTTTTGGAGGGTGCTGCAGGACTGAATCCAGTCAGTGTGTGTGCTCACATGGGGCTTGATGTCCCTTGAAAGTTTGATTAACAAGGGAAAGTTGGAGAACTGAGGATGAGAATACACATTGGTGGATTTTGTAAGATTCGGGAAGTCGGTAGGTGGAGGTTATACATGTTTTTTACTGTTAAAATGCTGCTTTTGTAAGTATGAAATCATGTATTTATCCATTTGAGGTCTAGAATGAATGAAGTTTGGTAAATCGGGGACAGATCAAGCTTGATTTATTTCCCATTTTATGTTTGAGGGTATAATATCCAATTATCGGGAAAAAACCCCAGAATTTGGTCCCGACAGAATACTAACCACACTTGAAGGAGTGTCTCTTGCATGCATGGATTGCAGCAGGTACATGTACATGTAGCTACTCATGGGATCCCTGAGGTTTCTGAATTGTGCACAATCTAACCATGCATGAGGGCACTCTGTCGTCACATCTTTTGGCCAAACGCACTTGCACATTACAAGTTGTTTGAACTCCCTGTCAAAATAGGTGTCAAGCAATAATGTAAATATAACAGAAGATTGTGCCAAGCAACTTTTTGAGGGGCAGTGTTGAGAATCAACTCACCACCTTTTTGGGGGGGTGCTTTTCTTTGTGTTTTTTGTTGTTTTTTATTGTGGGCACTCTTCTCTCTCTATTTTGAGCAAACGAGGAATCGATATCTGCAAGGAATGTAAATGTACATGTATATAGACATATTTTATGCACAACATCACTTAAGCCCACTTGTGGGGTGACATCACACTGTTTTCAGGACTAGGAGTATTAGTCTATAAAAGTGACAGGGAAACTAGCAGTGATGAAAAAGTTCAGACAGAATGTGTCTGTTCCCTAAACTGTCTGATTTGGACGAATTTAAACAAAACAAAAACAAAAAAACTCTGAGCAAACTCATTCTTTTTTAAGTTGTAAGGGTGGTGAATGAAGCGACAACTTACACCTGTGTTCCTGTATGAAAGGAAAATTCCTAATAAGCCACAAGATAAATAGGAGATCTCCTCAGGAACTTTCTGGTGGCAAACTTTGAGCTAATCTAAGATTTGGTAATAAACAAAGATACTTTATCCACAGCCCCAATGTGAAAATGTTTCAAATACATGTTGGTGCAGGTCACCTGAAAAGTTTTGAAAATTTTATATTGAAAAAATTAGTCATTTATTCTTTAATCAGTTTTTATACTTGAATAAGACAAGTGGATGTGTACAAACAAAACTGATTCAAACAAGCTCTGTTAAAAAATTCTTTAGTCAGTTGTACATGGACACATATATAGTAGAAAAAATATACATGTAAACAGTCTTTAGGGTTCTTTACAGTTCTAATATTAAACAGCAGCGCCTGTAGTCTGAAGTTGTTTTCTTTTATGTTTGTTTTGCTTTTTGTTTTGTTTTGTTTTGGTATGTTCTATATACATGTAGTTGATTCCGCTGAGCCTGATCACCTGTCATTTTTATATGGGTTCTTTTTTGTCTTTTTTTTTTCCTCATGAGAATTCTCAATATTACTTCAATATGTACATCTCATCGTCACCTCCAAGGTACTCTCTTCACATTATTCAGCATACATGTAGTACAAATCAAATGAAATTGTTGAATTCCATACGGTGTGCATATAGTCAGAGATGTACGATATTATAAGAAATACTGTAGTGAAATCACAATAGTATTATATGCTAAGTGACATTATCTTAATTGTGTATGTACCGCACTCTCGGGTCTTCATAATTTCATGTGCAGTTGAAATGCAATAGTTGAGTCGGCTCTTTTTTCCTCCACATGACAAACACAGCATTTGGGCATAAAGGACATGTACAACCAGACACGTTAATAAAATGGTTGGAGTTCAATCCAACTATAGTGTGAGGAAGGAGGGCATTATCAACCTGAGGGATGCTCTCTAGAGGTACAATAAGGAAAGTTCATTCACCATCTACCAAAATGGATGGCAAACATTTGCAGGGCAATGCATCAATTATTTTAAACGTATGACATTGTCAGACTGGAAGTTGCTGCAGAGAGAATGTCATTCAGATGCTGTTTTACAACATATAATTGTGCCATTAGATTTCTCAAAGAGTGTCGTCAACATTGTGTAGCTCATCAAACTCGATGCTATGTGTAAAATTCACGTGTAGCATGCGACTGTCTTTGTCTTCAGGGTGATTCTTAATTTGTTAAAAAACGATGAATTAATTAGGGTTGTAAAAAGATTGCCTACAAAAACACCCAGAAACAAAGGGAGGAGTTTTATGACCCTCTATCTGCGGCAAAGCTACAAGTTTTTGCCTTCACAGACAAGCATCTGTGTGTATTCTGAAACATTCAAACAACTTTCAGTTTCAGAGCTCTTCTGTGCCAAGTACTAATCTGAAGACAGATGACATTCATGACCAGTTCAAATATTTTGAATATTAAAGAGTATACTGGGCATGCTGTGTTGTGCTAGCAAACCTTGGGTTGTGAATCAGATTTTTGTTAACCGTGAGTGCTGTGAGGTTGCAGACAATCCTGTCAAAAAGTGTGGGTTAGTGATGAGTTGGGTAAGGATTAGGTTGACTAACCTCTGCACCAACACCTGCACCACACTAGCATGTGCACCTACCTGCCTGTGTGCCTGTGCTTGCACACTAACATCAACCCTAATCCTTACCCTACACCCATGCGCAGCAAATGAATCCTGTCAACAAGCTTGTAACCCAATAACATGACTGCAAACAAAAATGCTGAAGATTACTTCTTGTGCACCATTAAAAATGAGGAAATATTTTTTTGTCCTCCTGAATTGGGATTATATCCAATGCTTTTTAAGCAGACGCATCCGATGAATTTGTACGAGTCTTCACTAATGAACAATCATGTTTCGTAATGTGTCCCCTCCCCCATGAGCACTGAAGTTAGCAAATGTGACATTGTTTGCAGTTTAATTTAGTGCTGAAGAATGGAAGATCCTCAAAATGAAATGAACATATGAAGCAGCTCTGTGTAACCTTCCGCATGATGTGCAAAGGTTCTATCAACAGTTATCTCAGAGGGAAGTTGTGAAACTGCTTTTGTATGTGTTCAAGTGTCAAATGTACACTGTACATGTACTTTTGGGTCATTCTCGGCAGATTTTTGGTGTATCAAGCTGAAACCTGAAATATATCGCCAGCAGAAGTTGTGGTCTTCACCTGATCACCTCACATATTGTAACCAAGTAACATGTTCAGTGTCACATAATATCCCAAATCTAGGGAGTGGCTTGAGGTCGTCCTCAATTCAAGGAGAAAAAATAGCCAAGCTGTTTAGGTGATGACCAGATGTGATGAGCTTTTCCCATTATTTTGGGGGTGGCATTACTTTAGGATTGGAGCCGACCAAGAAAAGACTATTTTCAGCATTGCAAATGTTGGAGCAAAAGAAGCCAATTAAACAAAAATTGGGTTCTGGAGGGCCTTTTCCGTCGCCATGTGCACGTGTTCCCGTTTGATTTGTTCTGTTACATCAATACCTTCAATGCCTCATTGAATAACAACTGTGAGCTAACTAGTTAATAATTTCCTATCAAAGGTAGTAGTTTCATCGCAAGGTTTCCAGCAAAAGTTGCCGAAATTATTTGAAAACTGTCCTGTTTACACACAATGCTGTCATGCTGCGTCTTTTTGTTTCTTGTCTAGTTTGGTTTGTTTCTTGTTCTGTTTGATTTTACTTTTTGCAATGGGAAATGGTTTATTTAACCATTTTTTTCTGTTGTTGCAGTCGTGTATTTTTCCCTGAGCCCTAGGTGCATGTTGAAATGTAAGGTGGCAAGAATTAAGAACGAGAACATACATGTACATTTATGTGGTCTGAGTTCTTGGGGTTTTGGTTACGAGTATTTGAGGCCCAATAGGATATGCTATAACTGCCCATGTGTTTGGCAGAGTGGCTCGGGCTTGCATTCATAAAGTGCAAAGTATATGTCTAAAGTGAGCTGTATCTAAATGCTCCTGCTCTACCCTTCGGTGTTTAGCCTTGAGTGCAACTAGAATCACCTTGCATTTCAGTGAACCTGAAGGCTTGGAAAAAGGACACAACAACACGGATTGCCTTCTCAACTTTACACAAATTTGATTTGGAAAATAATGTGCACATTTACCGGTATTATTTTTTAGAATCCTCCAACTGCTAGAAGATTAAGGACTATCCGCAGGGAGGAGGGCATGGTGAAAACTAGTGTAAAAAAGATTATCCAAATATTGTCATCTGTAAAAGAATCCCAACTTCCCCCCCCCCAAAAAAAAAAATGGGTGTTACCAATTCTAGAATACTGGTGCCTTCAAGTCAAAGAATTGGCAACATATCTCTGGAGAGGAATGGGGATAACTCCTCCCCCTCCCCATTCAGCTTGCTGGATACACTGCTGACTGAAGGTATTTTTCAGTTTGAAAGAGCACAGATACATGCAATTGATGTTCTGGACTGATTGTTTCATTGTGAAAGAAGTTAGTTTCTCAAAGGGAGGGGAAATAAAGCAGCACCAGATTGTTGGGAATTGCATTTTGTAGAATCAAATCATTGTTCACCATGACTTATGTTCCCTCATTTCCCATCCACTCACAAAGCTTTCGAGCTCCATCTCATTCATGCCATTCACACGTGTACAGTCATGTTGCTTGTTGTGGAGTGTTTTGAGAGTGGATCAGGCTTTTTTTTTTAACATGAGAGCATGGCACAGTAGACAAATGAGTTCTTTCCCCCAAAAGCCACCCCTACATGTACCTCTCACCCCACTTACCCCAACTGTGTGATCTTCATGTACATGTACGTATGGTTGATTTCTTCTAGTCCACGTTTTAGTTTGCTGACGTTCTTTTTGTGTGTCGGGTTGGGGTGGAAAACATTTGAAAGGCCTTTTTTAGACATTTTACGCACCACTTTCTGGATCTTTATCTGGATATAAGATTTGATAGCTCCTTTCAGAAGTAGAAGTTCTCTCTGCATACATGTAGCTCGTACAACTTGCATTGCTGGTTTTTGGTTATTTCAGTTTTAAATTCTTCTGGAAGTCTGTGGTAGTTGGACAGTTGGATCTCTTGCTGACTAATTTTTCTTTTTGGAATGAAGCCATTTCATTTCGATTACAAGCTGTCCCATTAACTTTCACTCCTCATTGGTGCATTGCCAGGTCATTAACATCAGCTTTGTTCTTTCACACCCTTTCCTCCCCCCCTTCCTTCGGTTGACTCATAAACCTTGGCCCGACCCCCCTCCACCCAACATGCTTCTCCCACATCACAGGTGACCTCCTCATCTGGCACGCCACCCCAAACACCAACCGCCTCGCCCAGCACAACCCTATCCGTATCCAACTCCACCTCCCGCCAGACCTCGCCAGAGAAGCGCACTGCCCGGTCAGAAGACAACTACTACAGCAGCGTCACGTCCTTTGAGAGCCAGTTCTCCAGCCAGGTGGCGGGTGCACTGACGATGGCCGACCCCATGCATGAGGCCCGCTCACCCCCGCCATGTTCAGACCGCTTTGCCCAGACTGACGAGGAGGAAGGCCACACGCCCACGCAGAAGGACTTCCTGGAGCACGAGGCCCGACTGCGTGCCCGGGAGGGCAATGGGAGAGTGGACAAGCGATCACTGCAGCCCAGCCTTAGCTCGCCTCCAGGGGAGCGCCCGCAGAGTCTGCCGCCCTCTAGCCCCGCCATGTCAGACCCCATGGAACGCCGGCTGTCACTTTACGACAACATTGACGTGTACTACAATGACACCTATGAGGTGGACATGGAGGAGTCGTTAGAACGCTTGAACACTCCAACCGACCAAGAGCCATTCACGTTGGGTGAACACGAAACATTACTCTACACGCCTGTGGCAGGCAATTCCCCAGCCCGAGGTGCTGTGACCGCCCTTGCCCGTGTAGGAGCTACGTCAGTTCAAGGGGCAGGTAGCTCCCCTACCCACATGGCCAGCAGCTCTCCCACTCGCTCCACCGGTAGAGCCGGTTCCCCGTACAGAGACACTAACGTCCCCAAACTGTCCCCCATTAAATACACCCCATACGCCGGTCCCTCCTATGCGCCCCCCTCCACCTCCATCCATCCCCCGCCCCCACCACCACGAACCCTGCCCATGAGTGAGCTGCAGCACTTTGATGGAGAGGGGTCCCCTTACCGAGTCCGGCGTGCGACTCCTGACAGAGAAGCCTTTGGTGGCAGTGTGTTCACCACACAGTCTACAGTTGACGGCCCAGCAGTCCGACCAAAAAATCTTCACAGCCCCGTCAATGGAGTGCCATATTTTAAGACACAAACAACCTATATATAACACAGTAAGTAATGGTCAGAAATTATCCATTTTGTATTTTATCCACTTAGGGGAAGTTAGTAACCCCTATTAGAACATGGTGCACGTACTTTGACGAGAATATTTTCCGCGTGGCTCACAGTAGTGTTGTATAAAGTAACAGTGGTGTTTGTCAGTTGAAAAGTGGAAAAACAATGTTTTGTTCAAATTATGGAATCATGCATTGAGACATCAGCTGTGTAAGCTTTTACCAGAAGATAAGATTTTATGATTCATTTCCAAAACTGAATAATAGAAAACTTCAGAGTTAATTTGAAGACAGCACAGAAGTTATTACACCTGAGATGTCATCAACATACAAGCTTAAATCCTTGTTTAAAAAAAAAAACCATGCTTTTAGGTATTCAAACCACTACATGTAAATATAGCATCCTTGGTTTGAATGCACCAAATCATTTCTCAAGAGTTATCTCTATAACCCAGCACAGTTTTGCTTTCTGAGCATATTCAAACCACGGTAGTTAAAGGCATTCTGTGGGGCAGACTTGACACTAGGCAGTATCCACCTGGCAGACATCTTGAGCAGACCTCAGTATCTCTGTGCAGGATTTGCTTGGGTCCAAAACATTCACGGGGGTGTTGTTGAAGGCTCATCTGCCGTGTAGGGAAATGTTTTTGCTTCATTGATGATGTGGAATACTGATGAATTTTTTTTTGGTCACTTGCTCTTTTGGTACCCATAAATTGAATGCAGATTAGCAAAGCAAATGATTTACCCGTGCGGAAATCTAGCATTGCTATTTGGAGAAAATCTGGTGTTTAAATTGACCACAGACGGAATGTACGGTTTTTCAAATAAAGATAGGGTAGAGAGATTAGTTTGACTTGGGTTTATTTTGTGTGTGTGTGCATATGTGCGTGCTAACGTCAGGCAAGGCAGCTGAAATTCGCATGAGTACATGTATGCTTTTTCCCCTTTTTTCACTTTGGACTTGTGTGAGAGTGGTCAGCGTTTATATAACCAAAATGTCAGCCATTTGGCAAGCTAATGAACGGTAATCAGTCACTCCCAAACTGTATAATTTTCCATTGGAGAAATCTATGGAATAATTAGACAATAATAATTGTTTTTTTTTTTCACTAATTTGTTCAGTCCACATATTCCATATGTTTCTATGCATAATACCAAAGTAACATTGTGGTTTGCTCTATCTAAATGAATACGGTTGTTTCCAGCTACATGGTGAGAATACATACACGTTTGCTGGCTCTCTCATTTTTTGTCACATTTGTGCAGTATTTACAAGTATTTACAAAAAAAGGCAGCTCTCTCAGTAGGAATCAAAATCAGTAGCCCTTGTAGGTTTGAAGTTGTGATCATGTAAAATTTTACTGGCAGTTTGTGCAAGCAAATCAAGATGACGCACTTGGGCATTAATATGCAAAGCAAAGAGAGTGTCTTTATTCCTCACTTTGTAAGAACCAGCAGCATACACGTATGACGCGTACATTTTGCAGGCTTGTCTTTGTGTACTTTGTCTCATTTCAGCTAATACCTGAATAAAAAATAACAAAAAACCGAAACAAAAAAAACCTGTTTAAGTTTCCTTCAAAGTCACTGAAAAAACCTCCAGCTGTTGTTTTGAACGGGCACTAGATGAATGTAGGAAAACACAGCCATTACATCTATGCACTGTCCTCGTAGACTTTGCTTTGACTTATTAAAAAATCCTTTTTCTATTACACTTTTTAGTAAATTTCTTAAGAAAGGAGGCACAGTTTTTCTTGTCTGTAAAACTGATGATGTTTTTTATATTTGTACAAAGACAAGATGTTCAGAATTAAGATAGGACATTTAATTTAACTTGTTTTGATAATCATTTTCGAGACATACATGTATTAGTAGGGTCAATTTGTACATACAAATAGGGTTGATCAGCAGTTGTCAGGACAAAAATGTTGAAAATTTATTACATGGAACAAGTGTGTAGTTTTTAAGAATACCCAGAACTCTTTTGACCTGTGTAACGAGGGTTTTATCTGGAAGAAAAGGAGTTTTGTCAGGTTTGTGTTTCAGTGAAGCTGTTGTTTGTATGAAGTGAGTGCTGACAGGAATGGATCATCATATTGTCACACTTTTTGTACCTGTATATGCAGCTTAATCTTCTCTGTAAATTGTAGAAAATGAGGAAGTTGGAAGCAAAATGTTGGGGGTCTTTTAGCAAGTATGATTTGAATGTTGTTTTGTACATGTGCACAATGTGTCTAGTATATTTGTATTCACAGGGAGACTGGGAGAGTTGGGCAGGTTGAACAAGCTTTCTTTTGGCCACCAACACAGGTGTTTGATTTTTGAAAAATCATTTAGATGGGGCATCTTCCCCCTGGAAGGGAAGCATGCTACAAATGTATTATCAAAATTACTAAGTGTCAGTGCAGTGCCAACTAGAAGTGTTATGGGTTTTTCCCTTGGTCCTGAGGGTGTCAAGGATTTTGCCTTTCCCTTCATTTTTATCCACACTACTGTTGACCTACATGTAGTTCTAATTTCTTGGACCAGTCTAGTGTACAGATATTTACTGTGTACTGTCCATATACCTGGAGTACAGAGATTGTTTTTCCCTGACAGCCCAGGATTAATACCCGGGTACCAGCTAAAATGTGATTTTCCGAGGCAGTCAGTACTCGGACTAGATTGTACATGTCTCTGTTGGCTTTCACATCACTAACAAGCTGCAACGAAGAAATTTGCTGTGCCGTTTTATGTGCCCAGTAAAATCTAGCAGAAGACCACTTGCAAGCAATACAAAACAAGTAACACATTGATTGGTAACCCACCACTACTATGAAGGCACCATGACCTCAGCTCATGTACAGAATCTTCTCAAAACGGTTTATTTTGTCCCGTTTTGTTCATACCTGCTGTATATATGTAAATAAATGCTGCTTTATGTGATAATGTGTGTAGCATCATAAAGAGTGACGGATGGGGATCTTGATGTGTGGATTCCTGTCCTCTGTGGTGAGTGGATTGAGTTTCTCTTTCTGTAGAAGGCCAGCAGACCAATGTATGGACGCTCTTTGTCCTTTACCAAGTTGAAACGGTCAATGCTGAATTTATTTGGATGCCTGTATGCGTAAATTATGAAATTCATTTGTAAATTGTACATTACCTTTATTTGCAGAGTCATTTGTTATGTATATGCAGAAAGAGTACAGTTGTTGCCATTCATTCGTAGTATTTATAAAAGAGAAAAATATTACTGATAAAAATGGAATGTTCAGTAAATTACATTTGAAGTGCAAAATCAAAGCTGTAGTCAGGAAACACAAAGGTGTCTTACCTTAAAAAAAAACTGCTCACAGTAGACTGGACTTAAAAGCTTGCCCTTTTTTTCTTCCTCCAGGTTAAGGGTATTGTGTACAGAAAATCACAACGTATTTTGTAATTGAAGAGTCAGTGACTGTCAGGTTATTTATTACGAATTCTGCAAGACAGGCATCCACTTGCAGAATGTTAGTGAACAAGTTTGTTCTTTTTCCACACCTAATTTATTCGGGAGTTGTCTATTCCTCGAGAAGATCATATTTTGTCGTGAGAAAAAGATAGACTGTTTACTTGCAGATATTCATGAAGATCAGTATGGAATAGTTACCACAACATTGGGTTTACCAGTATGTACTGCTAGAGAAAAACTTCAAGGGGTAAAATGTAATTTGTTTCTCGGTGACTTGTGACCAATTTGTAACTATCCTCTCAATAATGTTTTAGTAATTTTACTTGTATTTTTGTTAGCTATGTATCTCAATAACGCAATCATGCTACACAGCTACAGTAGTGTGTCAGGAATGTTAGAGCAAGGTTCTGTATACAGGAAATGTAGTTCTCGTTTGTTTCAGTTCTTTTTAGCCTCACCTTTTCACCTTGCAACCCTAGTGACATTAATCACTTCACCCAGCCAACCCGAACATCCCATCCTAAATCCTCACATCCTTTTAATCTCATACCCTGTCTGCACCTATTTCCACCCATCTTGCCCCGCATTTCTACCCCAGAAGCTAGCTAGAGCGCATCCTTCCGCCCTTGGTGCCCCTTCACCAACCCTTCCTTCCCTGCCCAACTTGCCCTTAACTCTTGCATCATGGCACTTCTCCATTAGCCCCAAAGATCGCACTGCAGTATCCTACTGTGCATTTACTTTAGGTCACTGGCAATTATGCCTAATGCCATGCCTTACCACATTGTACATGTACTGGCATGCTGCATCCTCTGAGCAGCTGTTTCTAATTTTGCTTTTTACATGTACCATCACACAGGCACATTCATCGCCTTGTTGCAGTTTGCAAGGTACATCTTGCAAATGAAATCTTTAAATACTGTATTTTTACCTTGATCTTTTCGGTGTCATGAGTGATCCTTGTGATGCGTAAGCAGGATGTCTAAAATACTCTTTTTAGACAGCCCCGTTCTGACATGGGTAAAAATAACACGTTTCAGTTCGTTACTGTTTACACCAGAAAATGTTTGGGTATGGAGAATAACGCTTTAATAGTTTTGTTTCTCAGCAGTTTTTGTCGTGACTCTTGTTGCCGAAGTCTTGGATAGTCACTTTTCTAATCTTTGTAGTTGACTTAGGCTGTCTTTTTACCTACAAATTACATTTAAAAAGTGTACAGGTTTGTTTTTGTACAGAAACTTTGTGTGAGAACTTAAAGGGAGAGATACAACTCAATCAGTGTCAAAGTGGTCAGTGATAACTTCTGTCTCAGTAGAAAATCTTTTATAATTGCTTTAAGATCCATTCAAATAATAAAATGTAAAATGTGAAGTTACAGTGGCAACCTTGCCAAGTTTTCTGGAGAAATTTGGTCCAAAAAATGATAAAACTGTAAAAGTATACATAACGTGCACATGCTGTGAAACAAGGAAGTACTTCTTAACATTATTTGCTAAAAATTAGACATTTTTTCAATTTTGTTAGCAGACAAATGCATCAGCGAGAAATCTTCACTAAAACTGTTAAAAGGTTACTGGTATAAACGTCAATGTAACCCTGTTGAGGTAAAAAAGACCTGACGAACTTGAGTTAAGCGGTAGTACCGTTACATGGTGGGTTGAGTTGGTGGTGTTTTCATATGGAATTGCAGCATCATCATGCCATTATTGCGGTGACCCTACACTTGCTTCAACCTCAAAGTGCATGGTGCATTTTGACACCCTGTTCGGTCAGAGTGGTATTCAATGCAATAATGGCCTCTTCACCAGGTATAGAAGTGTTTTGTAAGAAGCTTCATGTATGTACATGTACTTTGCTTACCTGTCAACTTTCAGAAGTAATTTCAACTGAGTATTGCTGGCTGACATTGTCTCGTACAATTGGGCCAATGCCAAAATTAGATTGACAGCACCTTGAGAATTGTTCCAAGCAACCAAACATCCTACAGTACATACATATCAACAATTCAATCGAAATTTAAACAAGCTAATTGATCCAATATACAGTTTCTGCATTGAAGTCAAAACATTATCATACAAATTTGTGATTGCATTACAATAAAAAATATACCATGTAGCATGCATTTTCAAAAGTAAAATGTACAATGCGTTTACGGTATCTTCTACTGGAAGTTCCTGTTATTGTGCAAATAGTAAATTCCAGGGGAAAAAAAGTACTGTAACGTCCATCTGTGAAGAACATTTCATCTGTTGCATTGAGTTGTAACAAATGCCCTTCTACCCAGCACAAGGCGATCTTCATAAACCCAACATCTAGAAATGGTAGGGTGTTGAAACATGCAGAACTTTTAAATACATTCACTTTTGGTCACAGGTGATTATTTGTTCAATGCAAAATCTGACCGAGTTGTTCAAACATTTTGATAACCTGTCCCAAATTGAAGTGAGCTGCCCTGCCAAACAACATTAAAATGTCTGAATTATGTGAAACATCTTCCATTCTTACTTTTCAACTCCACAATTTTACACAAAGTTTGCTTTTTGAAAGCCAAACGTTTAAGGCACTGAATGATACAAAATTTTGTTGCAAAATTCAAACCAATAAACTTAATAATGCAACAATTAGGCATTTTCAAGTATATGTACAACACCCCATGCAGATCTTTTGAACAGCTAAACTACCAAGAAAAAATTTGAAATGTCAATGCAATGTTCTGAACAGCAGCAATTACATGCTAATAACACTGAAAATTGTCTTGAAATTTCAACCTTTTTCAATGTGAAGATTTTTAACACGATCTCACGTAGTATTACTTCCTCATGGACAATTTTCCTTGTGTTCTTTGTCAATGTATGCAGCAACAGAATCTTGGCACATCATAATTTGACTTACTGACTTCTAATTGTGACATCCCAAAACCAGGCTGAAGAAGGTAACTTCATAACCCTAAAATAGTGGAACTTCCACTGTTCAGATTTTCACACAAACTTAGGTTAAGCGTAACAGCACCACAGGAAGGTCCTTGACATGTTCACTTGCCAACTGTAAGTACACTTGAAGTTAATAGGTGTATCATGCTTCGTACATTACTTTGAGCACATGCAGAAAGATATAACAAATGGTGCAACTGCATAAAATGCTAGCAAAATTGACCGTTTGAGAGTATTCTAGTCATTGATCAACAAGAGATGACTCTGTATTTGATAAATTATGGTGCTAGTACCAGTCACGAATTAGTGGGGGGGGTTATATCCCCGCATAAAGTAAAACATCAGTGAGAAATAGGCTGATGAAACAGACTTGTGCAGAATGGTGTATCCAGGTAAAATGGGGACAATTTCCTGAAATGATTAAATGTTTTTAACCGTTAAAAAAAGTCTGTAATCCTTCCAAAGGAAGACTGCGGTACCATTTCTAAAGTTCTGCCACTTTCGGTTAGTTAAAAAAGGGGGGAGGGAAGGTACAACTTTCCGTCCCATGCTGGATACGCCATGACTTACGTCCAGAGTTTGGTAGGGGCTATCCCCTCCTGGGAGGTCAGCTTGGGCTGCAGGTTCTCATCCTTCAGAAAGTCCAGTGGAATCCAGGTGATGTAGCCGTGGATGTCCTTCAGCAGCCTTAATGCAGCCTTGGGGTCTGTCTTGCAGAGTGGGGTGACCTTCTTGAACTCCTGGAGGACGGCACTGGACGTCACCGAATTGGAAGGCAAACACCGGAATACCTGTAACAAAATACCAATAAAATTCAATTAGTATGTCCACATTGGTAAATCTCAATGCTGTTTTTACACACCATCTGCTTACTTATGAACAGTGAAGTGTCATGGATCAAAGATTGACTGTGTATCATGAACTTGGATTAACCAAACGGTTCTTTAGACCTAACATGGGGGCCTGGGTGCAAATTTCCACTCTGTCTCCATTTTCATTTTGTTTCTGTTTAAAATGCAGTTCCAAGTCAAGGCCCCTCAGCTCCATGTAACTCAAACAGAACGTGCTCAGTACCCTCAAAAATATTCAAACTGATCCCAAATAGCTGAACAGCACCTACTCATGTTCTGCACCACATTCGTCTCTTTTGGACTCGGTAACTGGGCACAGGTGAGCTTGGGCACTGGAAACGTTTTTTAATGTTTCAGGATGGAAAATGAAAATATTGTTTCAAACAGAAATGTTCTAAACTGCTTGCTGAACTCTAGACGAAGACAAAAGATAGAGACACAAGCCAGCACATAGAAATGTCCACATTGTTTTAATTCCAGAAAGCGCCCTCAATCGGATCTTGATCCTCAGTAGTCCCTTAGGAAGCAAGGTTGGATCCAAAACCAAATTTCCGCAGATCTAATGTTTTTGGCAGGGGTGAGGGGAGGAGAGATAAAAATCGAAGTTTGGAAGGAAACAAAATGAAATTGTTCCAAACAATTGCCTTTTCATTAGTAAAAAAAAAAAAGAGACAGTTTGTTCCTTTGGGAAGGGGGGTTAGGAGCCAACAGCACCAACACGGCTAATTACTTGGCTAAGGCTGAGGAAAACACACAAGTCTATAGGAAATAGCCACAGCCAGTTGCTAGCTTCCACAGGCATACACGTAGTAACTTAGACATGGTTCATTCCTCACCAGCTCAAAGATGACTGTGTTATCACTGGCCAGTTTCATGACCACGCCCTTGTAGAAGGAATCCGACACGGGGTCAGTCATATCTATTTCTCCATGTCCTTGCAAAACCCCCAGATGCTCTCTGGAAAGACAAATACAATGACGGCATTGTGATCAACCCTCCCCCCCCCAAAAAATGCTTGAACACTAAATTGGTGATGTGATTGATGTCCATGATCCTCTCGTCACCAGGTCCCTAATTTTGCCACCTATTGTCAAGTCTCACTGGTTTTCACAGTAAGTGGCGAAATAAGGGACCTGGCGACTATAGCATCCTGGATGTTAGATGTTTAAGTTGAATGTTTCGTATATCACTCTGAGAGATGTTACCACAGGTGAAAAGACAAGTTGCCACAATGAGGAAGTTGACCTACACAGCATCCATGACCCATTCATTACCCCCAAAAGGGGAAATGGGGATAGTTGCATTAGGTTTAGCGGCATTAGGTTTAGCACGGCGTAACAGTAAGGGGGGTTCCCATTTTTTTCCAACTGAATTAATAGCTCTAATACAACTTCCATAAACTTTCACTCTTTGTGGCTCAAGGGACAAGCAATAATGTGCCCCCCACAACCAAACTTCCTTCCCCGATATTAACCATCAAATTTCTAAACAGTCTGCTCTCTCAACCTGACTGTAATAGGAAAGCTTTGTGGCACAATGCAAGCAAAAGAAACTTCTATTCAGCTGCTTGAGTGTTCAAGATGGACTAAAAACTGGGTGCGCGTCCTATGCTGATTTCAGCAGCAGTCTGTTCTCGATACATTCACTTATTACACTGCTCCCTTGTACACAAGGTACCAGTACAAGATTTATATGCACATTCGCTTATCCGCTTTCTGGCCCTCGGCCAATACTATTTGCTTTCCTTCTGAACTTTAAACCAGGCAATGACTTTTTCTTAGATGCGCTTTGTCTGCAACTTTCCACTCTTCTTCAAGGTACGAAAGCCACTTCCTTTTGGGTCGTGTGAATTTAAAAAATGCATGACCCGAAATATTTCAAAGTTTTTCAGATCATTGAGGGTGCTGTTGCTATGATGTCATTCGAGGCCGACACTGTCTAGCCTAATTATCTTCCTGTTCAAACTATGAACCCAAAATTCACTTTTTGATTTTTTTCTGAAAAAAGGTTGCTTATTGACTTGTTGCCATGTGCTAACACACAAAAATGAATCACCATAGATTAGGAAATTTGAGGGCAGAAATGTGTCAGAAAGTTTCGTGCACAGATCATTTAAAATTGGGGATATTTCCCCGTGATAACATCACAGATTTGCTCATGAATACAAAAATCTGTAAGCACAAAAACCAAAAAGGTGCCATAATCAACTTTTTTCAAATAGCAAGCCAAATTTTAAACTCGGGTTAACAGGAACACTTAGATGCTTTTTTCATGGGAGGTTGAGAAAACAATTGCACGGCATAGAAAGTTAAACCTGGCTGGACCTGACTCACTTGAACAGCCACTCCCGCAAACCAAAGGCCAGTTTGCCGGCCATGTACTCCTCCCCATTCATCCGGCTGGGGATCATCTCTGTGTCCTCCACCAGCACAGCCAGCTCGCTGTCACGCTTGCCCAGAAGGCTGCGGTCGTTGATGTTGGCCGAGCCACAGATGAAGGCCCTGTCATCCACGATCATCAGCTTGGAGTGGATGTAGACCAGCTCCGTCACCAGCTCGCCATTGAGCGTGTCGTGGGTACGCAGGCCATAGAAGGTGATGTACTCCCGCACATCGCTGACTGGAAAAAGAACAGTGGTTAAAAAAAAACACAGGTAAGTTTATTATTCCAAGTCAAAGGAAACTCACAGGAAAATAATTTGTCTGAACTGAAGCCTTGCTTAACTGTCATAAGAAAAGAAGAACTGATTTCTATCATTCACCCACACTGCAGCCCTTTCTAGGAGTGCTGTTGAGGCCCACTGTCTTCAAAACACTTTTTGCATTATTGATCACGGTAGTCGACTACCAATAATTGCTTGTGTGCCCCTTCCTAATTAGACAGAAGTTGCATTTCACCAGCACCTTCAGAATGATGACATTAATTGCAAACTGTTTTGTGAATAGACTTTGGAAGCCAAGAGATGAGCCAAGACTCCTTAAAAATTGATGGGAGTGAAAACCTCGTACACAAATCACACTGCGGACAGTTTAAACCAACATCTGAGACAAGAACATGACAGCATGCCAGAAAATGGAAGTGTGCTGTCATTGAGCAAAGATCAATCACCTACCTCCAGCTTTCATCAACCGTCCAATCAGTGACTTGCTCCCTCGGCAGATGGACTGGTACTCCCAATGCAGGATGGCGTGAATGGCACCTCCACCTGCCTCCCCGACGTCACCTTGAAACGCGGGCAGGAGGGGCAGAAACACGTACACGCGGAATGTCTCGCGCTCCCTGTGTGCAAAATGTACGACAGAAATATCTCCATTCCAACGATGGCATAACTTCCCTTAGGTAACCTCTTGACATATTTTACTGTGCCAGTTGCTTCATGTAAATCTGTAACTTGCATAACAAATTATGCACATCATACTTGGGGTAGCGTGAGTGTCTTAGAACAAATCAGAAATGGACGATTTTACTAACTTATCATGCACATTGTGTTGCTCATCACTACCAAAATACATGAGAAATGTACAACATTGGTTTTGAGAGGCGTTGAAAAACTGGTTTGGCTGAGAGAGAACACTGAGATTTCCTTCCCGATTCCAAAAAACAGGAAACAAAAATTTTTCCAAATGGCAGGTCAGAGCTAATCTGGAATGACCACATTTCCTCGATTGGTAAGATCACTTCACGGAATACAGGTGTCTTATCCAATCTATCCTTCCCCATCCACTCTATTCAGTCTTTACTCTACCCTAATCCTTCCTTACTTCAACTATTGTAACATTGGGCACGCTCCAGCTACAATCAGATCCACCCACTAATAACCATTCTGTCATCTTTCTGTTTCTTGTCTGTTTGTTAGTCCTGTGATTTTTTGTCTGTCTGTTTTCAAGGCTTTTTAGTACAAGCCCTTGGCTTTCGATTACGCCTCGGTAGTGCAAATGTCATCTTAGTTACTACTGTTTGTACTATTTTCTTTATCCTTCATTAATTGTCAACACATATACAACTTGAATGCCTTATATAGGCACTATCGGAATTGAACTGAATTGAATAGGAAAAATCTGCCGACTATTTAATAATATGACTGCCCTCGTCCAAGATGTGTAATACTGATACCAACTTGATGTGAGGCTTTCGCATGGTCAAAAGTTACTACCGCACCGTTGTGTGAGCTTTAGTGCATACCACACATGCAGCTGCTGGTTCAATGGGGCCTGCTGCTCGACAAAGCCCTCCATTCAGGGCATACCACAGCCCAGCAGTCCCGGTCAAAATAATTCCGCCGTGAAGGGGTTAAAAGGAACCTGTGCAATTTTTACTAACATAAAAGACTGTCATATATTGTACACAGTTTGAACTTTGAGACTTCCGTGATTTCTTTGAACTCACTCGTAAGCCCGGAGAATCCGCTGGTAGAGAGCTTGAGCAATGCCATTAGTCACCTCACTATCAGGAAGGGTGATAAAGAATTGGTTCTAGAACCACAGGAGAAAAAAAAAGAAATCATCAATTAAAATGGGTCGCCATCCATCAACTCCTGCCTTGTAGCTCATTCACTGTTCACTGCTTCCTTGTTTTGTGAATACTGGGATACTTTGGTGATAAAATCATATATCTGTAAGTTCAGGGTTCAAATCAACAACTTGTAATATGCTGTGTCCTCAGGCAAGACACTTTACCCTCCCTACTTGCCTCTCCTTATAAACCCAGCTGTGCCTACACTGGCTGTTGAGTGGTCTATCCTGCTGAACAGGTAGTAACTGTCAAGTGCCTTGGATCACTGATACAATGGGAATGCTGTATACTGTACCCATTACAGTTATTGTTATCATCGTACATTTGTTGTACATGTACACCTTAAGATCAGGCCTCTTGGGTGGAGGTGGGGGGGCTCCCTTAGTGAGCAGCGGGCCTCGCCATTGACACAAATCATAGGCATCAAAATCATCTATTGCTCTTGAGATATAAGCCCTAACTGGTACAGTTCCCCCCCCCCCACGCCCAAAGCTGGTGACTGGGTTGATGCTCCAAGAACTTTGGGTCTACACTTGGGGTATGCTGAGGTGAAAACCAACCACTCGTGGAGAAACGTGTACACTGTGAACGACAAAAAGCCCAATATTTGGTCTGACTTACCTCAATGTAGATGTAATGCTTGGCTTCCCCAATCAGCTTGATGTACGCCTTCTGTATCGAGTCCTCAGTGTGCTTCACACCCACGGACCACTTACTGGCAGAACGCAGCAACTGTAAGATTGGAAAAGCAGAGTTACAATGCATTCTCTTTACAACAATTTCACCAACAAGATACGAGGACTTTTTTGCTAATTCCAGGGTTTACAAAACTTCAGAATTCAGCCTGAATCTGAATTTTTTACTCTTATTTGAAAGAACATACATGTACATGTAATAAAATGAATTACATGAACAATTGGTGATGCTAAAGTGGGATTAGTATAACTTCAAGATCAGAGACTCAAATACATACTTTAGCTGTATTATAAACAGTATACTTATCTAAGAACACGGTCCCTGCACCTGGAGGACAATTGAATTCCATGACTTTTCCATGACCAAATTATGAGAATCCATGACCCAATAACACAATTTCTTGGATTATTCGGAATTTTAAAGTTGCGAATAAAATCATGCATTTAAAGCACTTCTTTCTGATAGAAATCACACAGAGTGTTTGAAAATTTGAAAACTTTGGCATGACTTTAGTCATTTTACAAAATTCCAAGACTTTTCCAGGCCCGGAAAATAAGAGCAAATTTCCGTGACTTTTCCTGACTTTTTTCCAGGCTGCGGAAGCCCTGCAAAAAGATCTTTTCACAGTTGTTCACAGGCTACTCTTATTTTCACTTTAGACTTAGAGATTAAAACTAAAACATGCTGCAAACTGTGGTGACCTGAAATATACAGAGCTTAAAAATCTGGCTGAAGGGACTGTTTTGATCATAGCACAATCTTTCTCAGAGGCAAATTTAAGCAGGACCAGTAAACAAGTGGGACTTTCAGCACAGAGTTTGGAAAGCTGTTCATGGGAAAAGTGCATATATCAAGAAAAAGCGAAAACTAGATTGCAATGGCAAGCTTGTCACAGGGCAGGAACTTCATTGAAAAGGCAAGACAATTTCTCATTTGCACTGGTATGAGAAAATCAATTTGTCTCTGGGGACATTTCGATGGGCATTGAGGCAAAGACCAGGAACATCAAGGCAATTGCCTCCGTGAAGGTCGTGTCCTGCAATCATGCAGTGAGTAGGTTGAGGGGTACCTGGCAATTGCAGGGTACCGAGTTGGTCTTGTGTTCCTCCTTCACCTCGATGGAAGATGTGGACTTAGGAAGCAACAGTGGATAGTGGTTCAGTCTCTCAGCTTTCTCTTTCTGGAAGTGACGAGGTAATAGAATAAATGCATAAATTGAGGATGTGACCAAAAGCAAGGAAAATGCAGAAACAAATCACATATAAAGACACAATAACGAAAACTGTTTGGCATGTTTGTACATGTAGATTGGATAGCCCCCTCCCCAAGTTATATCCCAAAGACTTCCCCCTCCTCCTTAAAGTTTAAACTAACACTACCATGCAGTGCAAGCTATCTTGTAATCAGACAGAAAGGCGGTATCTCAAGTGGGCTTGAGGGTAGACTGCATCTGTTGTCCCATGCATGTCTGCATGTCCTCACAAATTTGCAACTGGCAGAGACCTCGACACAGCCTCAGACGCCAGATCTGGACATGACTGTACTGTACTAATCCTTGCTATGATTGATGCAGCAAGATTGTATACGTTGAATGAGCCTGATTGCAGAGCACAGGCAATATGAAGAACCCACCTCACATTACGTACTGCACGTGGGGTGGGGAAGGCTGGGCATCATAAATGTCAAAGCTCGTATTGATTATTTTGCATGTGGCCCATTCTACCTGCCCTTTGACTGTAGCTGACCTAGCCTTTCAGTACACATGTGCATGAAGAGTACACTGGCTTTGTATGCACATGTATATTATCAATTTAATATGCTAATAAAGTTGACTCCCACCCAGAGTTATACAGCAAATGTGAACTAGCAATTTCCAGACTCTACACGTACATGTATATCCCAACAAGATATTCAGGCTGTGCTTGAGATTAAGCTCTTTGGCTGTGACTAACCAATTAGAATTTGTCAAAACAGTAGAAAAACCCTCAAAATTCCTATTTCTAAATATCCAATGCCCTCTGATCAACACTTTTCCATACACAAAATGTTTCGTTAAAAAGGACAAGCTGTTCTGGGCAGATGGACAGGGTGGTGGGTACCAACCAGGCAGTGGAACCCATCAGAGGATACACTGTATAAATATACCTTAGTGAAGTTCCAGCGCTGGATGAAGTGCCTGGCCACATCGGCAGCTACTCTGCCGTACAAGCAGGTGCCTATGTCATGCCATGGCATGCGGGGGGTTTTCATTCGGTCAACGGAATCTGGGTGCAGGAGAGAGAAGAGCTAAGAAGTGCAGAGGACATGGATTATGTAGGGAAAGGAAACTAGCAGGTAAGAACAAGGCACAGCCTATTTTGTAAGCAAGTTCATCTTGCAAACTTTCTTTGCTTGAGTCAAATCTTCCAAACTTGCATTTATGGCCACATTATGTAGTTAGAAAAACAAATAAAAACTCAAACTATGCTTGCAATTTGATTAAAAAGGGAAATCCTTGAAAAAAAAATCATGAATGGTGTTTTAACAAAATCCATGACAAACCCATGGCTTTAACTAGCCTTCTCTTTCTCCATCTCTTTTCCCTCTCCTTGTTCAAGCTGTGGTGAGATTCTCTAGTTGCCCCTTGATAGAATTCTACAGAACACCAAGACTGACCCACACAGTTGCTATGGAAGATCTGTCTCAAGTTACGGTGGGGAAAACATTTCAATGACCCTTAATTTTTAAGGGTCTGTAAAGACTATTACGATGACCCTTAATCTCTGACCTATGGGTCAAAAAATCGACAAGCTTTTGAATCTCTTTCGAAAATTCAAGGGCTTTTGAAGGACACAATGTCCAACCCACACATCCAAGTTTGAAGTTAATATTCATGTCCTTCTAAAAGGTACAGTGGGAAAACTAATTACTTGCACACGCACAAACACATGTAGGACAAGGCAGAAAATGGCATGCCCCCGTGCCTTCGCGAGCAGGGCAAGGATAATAATGCCAACAGGTACCAGTACGAGACACTATTCCCCCCCCCCAACCAACCTTGTAGGGACTCCTCGGGTGCCAGTACATCCTTGGCAATGAAGTTGCAGTAGTCCTTGCCAATCCACAGCTTGGGCGTGCCCGACAGGCCCAGCTTGTCCAGATTCTCGTCCACGCTGGTTTGCGTCTCCTCCTGACGCAGCCGGCGGATGGGGTTCATGAGGTAGGCCGTGGCGCTCTTCAGCCGGGGCCTCCGGAAGTAGCCCCCCTCGTCCTCCGGCTCAGGGCTGGTTGGAGTGCGGGGGGAGGGAGGGGGCCGCTGATAGGGAAAGAAGTGACCGAGCAAAGGTAAGGTTATGGTGGACAATGAGAGGAGAGGGTATCAAAGCTTGAAATGCTCAGAACGTTTCCTACAGAACAAGTAACAGTTCATGTGGCCTCGGTGCAGGAGGGTAGACACTTTTTTGCCTTGAAATGACAGGCTATGAGGCTGAAACAAGGCACAAGTTCAAATGATTACATGTATGTTTTTAGCAAAAGAGGGTTGCATAGTGCTGTCAGCATCTCCTGTGAGTGAAACTACAAAGGCGAAATGCACATTTTGTCAATTCAATTAGGTCTAGTAATCAGAGGAGAAAGTGACACAAACTCAATATTGATTGCTTTGTGTTTACTAGACGACATGTACATGTATATCTCTGGATCACCAAAAGCAAGCAAGATGAGTGTCCTCCTTAAAAGCATATTAGCTATAAATACGGTTTAAAATGTTTAAAATGAGCAATATTTGCTTGCGTCATTTTCTGTTTTGGAACCACTGTGTATGCAATTGTTTGTGCACACATTGCACTGAGCATGTATAATCTGAGTATACACAATCCCTTAAGGACGTCATGCCATTCGCATACCGGGGGGGGTAAGCACCGAACGCACAGTGGCAATGGTATTCAAATGTCGGCCCATCCTCTCTCTGTTACCACAGAGGGGGATGGGAGCTTGTGTGCAGAGCCTACAAGAGCAGTGTATTTCCACCAGAATGGTCTGGGAGTACAAAAGTTCAAGGAGCAATTGCAAGATGCAATTTTTAACTGGGAACCTTTGGAATAATGCAAGTACATGTACCAGAGGGGTACAACCCTCACTTTGATGCAAGACACACCCTATCTGAGTGCGCCTTTTGAAATAATCACACAAAGTGGTGATAATGAAAAATCAGCAATTTTTCAAAGCCACACACTAGGTATGGTTCCCTTAACCCTAACCATGCTGAACCGAACAAGGTTATGCAGGATTTCAATGGTCCCTAGGGGGTTAGGGTTAATGACCACCATCATTTCCATCAAAAAGAATACCTGTCAGTTAGGACACTAAAATAGATGTTGAAGTTGATTTTCATTGAAAACAGCAATCACTCTCTGGTTTCAACCCAGTTATAACCTCCAGGCTGATGCATATGGAGAGCAGGTCATGAAAAAAAAAGCGCCCACGACACATGGCAAATATTTAAACACCGTCAAGGAAAACACTGTGAAGGTGGCAGTAACTTACTAGCCCCCCTTTACTGTGTCTGTGACATGCAAAGCCTAGATATGCAGCGTGCTGGATGAAAAGGAAGGGGCAAGTGTGGAAGAATATTCTCAAAAATGAAATGCAAAAAGGAACAGTCTCCACCAGAAAAATGTGTACATCACAGCCAAAGTAGAACCCTAATTTATAGTGCCAAGGGTAAAGCCTTTCACCAAACTGGTTGAGAAATGTCAACTGAATGGCTATTTCAAAGCAGAATGTTTTCGTAATAAAAGTCTCAATGTCAATTCACCTCCTTAACTTACCAAGCCACTGACCAAGATTCCATATTAAGATTTCTAAGGACTGTGGTGTGAGTGAATGAATCAGTGAATTTTAAAAAGGTGATGCATCTGTTCTGGGCAAATGAAAATTGCAAAGGTTTTGCATGTACACACGTTTGCCATACATGTAGGTAGGTGGAAGATGCTCAGGTGCCCCCAGGCCAAACAGTGCACATTTACAGGTACATGGTATAACTCACGTCCCGGTATATGTAATGTACATGTACATGTATGTCAGGATGTTGAACTGTCTGTATGGGTTGGTCCAAATGTGAAATCAAGGTCTATTTCAGAATGTGACAGCATGACCCTAGCTATGCACAAGTCTTAAGAGGGAGTGGCACTTTCAAATTCTGACTTTCAATATGATAAACTACATGCCCTAACTCTACATTATAGGCTCTGTATGATGACACCGCAAATGAACGACACATAAATGGAAAGTCTCTAAAATGCAGGCTTTGTGAAGCGATACACGCCTGTCTTTGGAATGACTATTTGCTCATACGTGTACATGCAAGCAACCAATAAACACTGACCCAATCTGTGTTGAATTTGCATAAATTTTATAAAACTGCCTGAACAACATTCTCTTCAATAAACAGCAAACCATGATGCTTTAAGTGGGAGAGAACAGCATGGAATTACTGCATGGCTTGGATGAACTGTCATTCAAATGAAATTTAAACTGGAAGAGATGTCATTTCAAATGAAATTTCAATACGAGGTCAAGGTTCTTCAACCTTTGACCTCTGACCTACTCCATCAATGTCATCATCGGAGTCATCACCAACGTAATCCACTTCATTACTTTTGATATGAACCTTAGGCCCAGGGGTGGGGTCTGGATCTATGTTTGGCGGTTTCATAAACAAGTCCATCTGAAAATGAAATCATGTTGAATTTCACTGTTAAATGAAGCTCACTCGATGACCCACAAACCCAGAGTTATCTTTTCAGAAAAAAAATCAAAAAGCACTTACACTGCATGTGAAATTCTTTAAAACTAAACATTACAGTCCTTTACGAATTTTTCTTAGCAGAATTAAAAAGGGGTTAAAGTTCACTAAAGCACATGTCAAAGCTACTCTCAACGAGTTTTGAGCAGACTTTCATCCAAGGAACTATTACTTGATTATCACAGCTTTATCTGTATCTAACACTCCACAGTTTTACAGCAGGACAGGGGCCACTCACCTGCTGCCTTGGCAGCGATGCATTTTTATTGGCAACCAGCGCCGAGCCTGTGTCAGCCAGCCGGTGCTTGAAGTCGTCCCAGCGGCCGTAGCAGATGTCCAAGCCACCCACGAAGGCCACCTTCTGGTCCACCACCACCAGCTTCTCGTGGTGGGCCCATAGGATGACCTGGCCAGGGTTGTGGTCTGGATGCCTCATCACCTGGCCATTGGGAGGGGAAAGAAAATGTAGAAACTTGAAGGGGCTTTCCAAATCTCAGCTTTGTCTCTATTTCCAGCTTTACCTGATTTTGACTCCAAGCACTTTTGATATCAGGGATGAAGCCTGAAAAGGGGACAATGCTGAGATTTGCCAAATTCCCAAAGGCCGAGTAGAGTGCCTTGGCATTCAACAGACTGCTCTCATTTTGCCTACAACTTGTATGGGCAGCCAAAATTTGCAAAAATATCACCTTTGGGTTGGTTTTTGATTTTACCTCAAATTCATTCACAAATGGACATCTGTGCCATTAATTTTCAATAGGGTTGTATTTTCATTTAGTATGTATATTACTATCTGGAGTTCTGATAGCTGCGTGGGATTTTCAACACTTTGTGAATAACTGTTTAGCTTTCTGTACCGACATTCTGTCAAAGTTTTAGCAGCTACTTGTAGGGAAAAAACCCCGACTGTGACGTCAAAAGAACAAACCCTACATGTATGTGACTGAAAATGGAGGGTACATGTACCTATTTCCAGTTTTTTGCTACCTGAAGCATTCTTCACAAATTCTAAAATGTTTCTAGCCACAAATTACACCGCTTTGCAGATCAGCTCCAACACAAAAGAGAAGTCTGTTTGCAGTTAAAAGATATCTGTCCCTGACTTTAGTTCAATTTGATTTCATACCTTTATAGTGCTGTGTACACGTGTAGTTTGGTGGAATAGCATGACAGTTAAACTTCACATCTGGCTTCAGGTTTGTTTTTGTTTCTTCATTGTGGTAAAGCTCTTAACCACTTGCTGCCAAGGGGATATTTCTTGAGCAAGACAAGATGCCGGGTCCTTTTCAAGATTTTCCATTTTCAAAAATCTTCAAAATTCATCATTTCATTAAATGGCCGTATATGACCAACATGAAGGACTCTTTGGGCACTACTCTAAAGCTGACGGGTAATCTTCATTGACTCCTGAATAATTCAGCCAGGCCTGCAGAGCCTTAGAAAAAGAGCCCAGATTGTGCGGTGTTATGTAAGATTCTTTTGTTCCTGAAACCGGCACAGTGCACTGCTGACCTCTTTTCAATAGGGCCACATTAGCGTTCAGCGGTGCTCTGTGACTCATCGCTGCGGTGGTGGAGAGCTTTTGTCCCCGGTGGTAATTCGCTCGCTCTAAATGCCTCAAACCGTGGCATACTGTTTCAAAACAAGGCTGGATTATCTGCACTATTGAGAGCGAACAAATGTCGGTAATGCCAAGCAGTTCAGTCTTTTGTTATAAGGCCCAACTCTTTTGTCCCAGTTCCAGGCTCCCCGGCTCTGCATATAAAGCCTATGTACTTGAAAGCGGGTCGCCCGGTAGGAAGTGGTTAAGAGTTCCTGATGATGTAGAAAATGGATACCCAGTTCCAATGTGGGCAGTAACAAAAGTATGTAACATCTTAACCAAATGGAGCAGAAGTGTTCACAAACAAGAAGGAAGGTGATCATGTTCGGCTGAATTTTACGTACCTTGATGTTGGGATGCAAGTCCATTAGTACATGCTTTGTGTGTTTGCTGCCAAGGTCTAGGGCAACGTCCACTTCCTTGTACAGCAAGATGAAAATCTTGACTCCGGATGCCTATTACCAAGGAAACAGGGCACAGCACTTACAGGTAACAGGTATACAGGTAACGTTACATGTTGCATGATATCAAAGTAGTTTCTTGTCCACTTTTTCTCAGTTAATGCTGGGCCATAAACAAACACGCATGTACATGTACTCAGGCCACAACTCCTTACCAATCAAAAACATGCACGAACCATCTCTTTGGAACTGTGTGCTAGTTTTCCTGCTTACGGTGAGCACAGCCATGAAATTGGACCCAGCTTAATTTCTAAGTTTCAAAGGAGAGGCAGAGTGTGCTGTAAACCTCCAAATCACTGCCCCATCTGGATGTCAATCAACAGCCTGTCAGCAGGCAATAACCAAGAGCAGACAACAGGCAACTTACAGCTTTCCTGCGCAGGATGTTGTCCAGCCTCCAGTGAGGCCCCTCCACAGCTGGCCTCTTCAGGTAGATCTCGGCATTGAGCCACCAGTCCGTGATGAAGATTTCTTGCTCGGCCCCTTCCATGGCATCAGCCAGGGCATCAAAGTACTTGGACCCGTCCACAAACCTTCAGAGGAGTACATGTACACACACCACAAAGCCATATTAAACTACTGGACCGCTAACTCCTCATTCCATGCATAGAAAAAATGACACCTAATCCCACCACTAATTCACTGTGCCCTAACCACCTGATCCAACTACACAAGGCTATTATTAGATAAGACTTTCACAGCAAAATGCTGTAACTTTCAAAATGTGAAATATATTCTCGTATTAATCGATATACTGGTAAGCAGGGTTCAAGTTGATAACATGTTGAAGTGAGCATTTCCCCTCAAATGTAACAAACTTCAAGAGTGCAAATTTGGAAAGGAAATAAATATGCTCTGGATTTGACTAAGATTCCTTTGCACAGACAGGTTGGCTCGGCAGTACCCATCCCTTTGACCACTGCTGTGTGCCAGTATTTTGCATCTCCCTGAACGACCACCATACCAATTAACGAAAAAAAATTTGTTTCTTCAATTTCAAATACTGTTGTATAAATTTGAAAAGTAACAGCACCACTCAATCACACTGGTACCCTCCCTTGAAGGGCCCCACCAAAACAGCCTGATATTTATTCATGTGGCCACAAGATGATGTACATGTACCTAACACATGGAACACTTGGAAAAATCCCAAATGGAAATCCCAGATAACACAGACTGTCTAACCACAAATCTCAACTCAATTAAATTGCAACCTTCAATGCAATCAGTCCTTTTCCATTCTCTCTTCCACTCTCCCTCCACTTCCTGAATTTCCTTCCTATCTTTCAAGTGGCCTTATGAATGGATGATACGCATTGCTCAGGTTTTAGAGGAAAAACAACGGAAGTCATGTACAATTTCCCTTTTTAAACAGACTCGGACTTCAGAAACAGGGTGAAACTGATTTCATCATGTTCTAATGCACCATTTATGTTCTCAGTTAGATCCAACCCTCTACAGCTTGTAACAGTTTTTAATCCAACAGTTTGCAACTTTTATTTCCAGTACCTGACAGAAAATGTTGATCCTTTCTCAATTGATACTGACTACAAATTTCGTAATGTTCTGATGCATGAAATAAATCCTGAGATTGCTGTGGTGCTGGGACTTTGGGCGTAATCTGCATGGCATGTATGGTACATGCACGTGTCCGAGTTTCAATGATTTTCAGTTCATCACCAGAAAACACAAATCAGTCGGGCCAAGAACAAACACGCTGGTTCACAACACTTTTCCAACTTGAGAGTAGGAACTCTTGCTGTCACACCATCAATCTGCATTCTCGTTTCATATTTGTGCTAAGTATAAACTTGCCTTTAGGCTACATACATGTACATATCGGTACATTCTTTTACCAGGTCACTGGTTCGAGTCCACTTCAATCAATTTGTACTCCCATCAAGCTTGAACTAGCCTTATGGCTATACAGTAGAACACTGGTGAATCATTTTGCCAGTTCAACTTTCAAAACCCACTTCAATAAAAATTTTTCTGGGTTTCAACTGCCACTATCTAAAATGAGAAAACAGCAGCTGTACGCACCATCTGGCATAAGTGTCGGTCCTCTCCGGGCCGAAAGCGCTGAAGCGGCGCTCCTCAGTGTACTCTGACTTGGAGATCATCTCCATGATCTCAACCATCCAATGCCGAGCCATCTGCACTGAGTCGCACTTCACCAACAGCTTCCTGTAAAAGCCAGATGCACACAAATGATAAAAGGTCATAAAAACTCAATCGAGGAAACTAACAAAAAAATCGCATTACTGATTCCCGTATTGTTTACTTTCCGAATCATAATAACATACATTAACAAGCAAGAAGTACACGTACATACATGGCCCAAGTTGGCCAGCAGATTACAAAAATAGTGCAAACAGATGGTCCAAAATTGCACCAAATTTGCGACTTTTTTGTGTCAAAATGCTGTCCTAAACAGCCAAAATTTTGTCTGCAGCAACCAAAATGCATCATTTGTAGCACTTTAGTGAATTGTTCAAAATGGTTTACAATCTTGCCCTTTCACAGCATAGCACTGTGTTAACTGCAGTGCGTGGTGGGACAGAATGGAGATCGTAGGTGATATATCACCATACACTGCTATCATAAGTAAATGGAGTCGATTATCTCTGGTTCCAGAAGGCCAATGCTGGTTTTATGTAACCATCGTTTTGAAATATTCTGGGGTACGAGAGCATTACCTTCCAAAACTGGGAACTGTAAGATTGCACCTTTTGCTTGCTTGTGATCAAATGTAATTCCCATGTCTGCCATTTTCTCTACCCATGGCACACAACAGGTCGTGTACACCACACCAATGACCCCACTCTGTCCCACCATGCACTGTTGTAAACACTATGTTACGTCATTGTTACAAAGGGTAGGCTTTCACCACTGATGCCAACAAGGAAGAACTTAACGCACTCAATCAAATTGGATACAAGTCACAGACCCTCTACCTTGCCAGAGCAACTGGCTCACTGACATTGTACATTCTGCTGCCAAGTCGTATCAAGTTGAATCTACCTGTACTGGTTGGAGATAATGAGGCCCGTGTTGAGATTGGTCTCTTCGATACCCCACTTGGCATCAAAGTCTGCATCGGCCAGCATGACCGCCCGGATGTGACCATCGCTGGGTCTGACGTAAGCAACAAAGGAGTCCTTGGTTACCAACCACCTGAAGTGAAGGAGTGAAGTAAAAAGATGAGCACCTGTCAAGGTCAAGGGCCTCGGTACACAACCTCTATGTTTCACCAGCTATTCTGTTCTGGACTCTCTACTGGTCAGTAAAAAGAGGGCACAAGACCAATCAGGAAGGGCAAACATTACCGCTGTGGCACTCAAACAGGTACCTTCTTAAACTTGAGGTGTTTGTAGGTTTGGCAAGTCACAACAGCCTAGTACTGATCAAAGAGGTATTTACTACACATGTACCACCTGCCCAAGAGTATAGCGCCACAGCAGTATTGAATGGCTTGCCCTCTGGTTGATGCATTAGTCCATGTGGTCTAATGTGTTGTCCTAGTCTCCCTTTTCTGACACACTGCCACCCTGGGTCAGGATTGCCCTGTGGAAGCTACTCAAACGGACCCTATACCCACAATGCCCTCCTATAATCCCATTTTTTGGTTCCAATCGTAGGGTCTGTGCACAAATCCTACTGAGAACTTGGTGCTCACCGTTCTCTCATGAAACCCTTTGCTCCAAGTCCTCAGTTGTATGGGAGAATGATAGCCAACCTACTCATTTGTGCTGAGATTTGTAAAAACTGGCAAAATTGAATTTAACAGTGACTCTACCTTTTACTGTAATGGGCTGCAACTGATGTACAGTCTGTGCACACCAGGCAAGGGCAGCATCTAGTGATGGGCACTCGGTGACCTCCTGACCTCTTCTGAATCCAACCTTCCCTGTTGACATTCAGACACAAAGTCAAATTCTTTAATGCTCACATGCACTGGTATGCCTGAACCCCGAGGCAAATGTTACAACACTCTTCCTTTGAGTAAGAATTACCATTACTGATTCGTAAATACATGTAGTTATTACTGAAACGATTACTGAGATACTTGTAAATATTCATGAGACATACAATCCATACATCGAGCTGTGCCTCTAAAATAGTCACCAATGAAATCCAAGTACTTGACACAAGATTTTTTTAAAAGTGACTATTCAAATCATGGCTTTGTCTCTGGCTCTATTTCACACCTGAACTTTATGATCTGGAGATTCCGGCTCAATATTCATCCTGTCTCTTCTGCAGGAGTACATGACACTACCATTTCAAGCCAAACTCTGCAAGTGACTCCATGTGGGTGACATATTCAGTACAACTGGTTGTACATGTGGTGCCAGTTACGATACCAAAGACAATGAATACAGTGGAACGCTGCTATAACAAACAAGACAGGGTCCACGCTAAATGTTCGGTACAGGGGTCGTTCGGTATGGCGAATTTAACTGTTGCCATTGTTGCCATGTTGAATAGCGCCCTCTCTTGTCTAACTGAAGAGCACCCTCTTGTCATATCTTGGTTCGCTGTTTTTGTAATGTTTTGCCATTGCAGTCAAGTTTAAGGTTTCTAGAAATGTATCTGTTAATTATTTTTGTTTTTTATTTAAACTTTAGTCAAAAAATTGATATCAAGTTTATCCTAAAAGTCGTGAAACTACTGCTTAGGATCGATCTCTGATGAATGCTGTGGGGAATCTCGATTGATTTGTTTATCGGCAGCGCCCTCTTTAGACTATTATTAGTGCAATGCCACCGTGCACGTACGTGCGGTTTTCTTCTGCACCCGATCATGTGGAGTCGCAAAACCAGTGTCTATTCAATACCGTTGACAACTAGTGGCTTTCCCTTCTAATCCTTGGGGAAATAATGGCCACTTGTCACTTTCCAACATCGCCGACTGTTTTATCATGTTGACGTTCGGGAATTACAAACTGCAACTGAAGAGTGTTCGGTAGGTTCTGTGCACAAATTATTGGGAGCCAAGGAAGATGTTGAGTACAGCCGAATGTTCGGTATAGCGGTGTTTGGTATAGCGGCGTTCCATTGTACACTAGTTCAGAATTATTGATCTTCAAAAAGAGAGGAATTAACCACTTCCTGCCGGGGACTCTGGATCCGGACACGTATGCTTTGTATACGTGGCCGGGGTCTCTGAACTCGGACAAAAGGAACAGGGCCTTGTAACAAAAGCCCGTACTCGGAACAAAAGACCAGGCTGCTGGGCATTACGTACATTTTTTCACTCTCAAAAGTGGAGATAATCCAGCCTTGTTTTGAAACACTATACCACAGTTTGGGGCATTTAGAGCAAGCAGATTACCACCAGGGACAAAAGCGCTCCACCACCACAGCGATGAGCCACACAGCACCGCTGCATGCCAATCTGGCCCCTATTGAAAAGAGGTCAGCAGTGCACTGAGCCAGATTCGTGAACAAAAGAATATTACGTAACACCACAAAATCTGGGCTCTTTTCAGAAGGCTGCAGGCCTGGCTGAAACACTCAGGCATCAACAGATTTTATCTGTCTGGCTAGTGTGGACACCAGACATGCCTTCATGTGTTTGTAAGTGTCCAGTAAATGAAGATAGGAATTTTTAAAGAATTTTGAAAACAGAAAAAAATGATAAATATCCCGCCCCAGCATCATCAACATTGATAAATGCCCCAGCAGGAAGTGGCTAAAAACTACAATGACAACCTACTCTGAATAAAAATGACACTCAAGGAAAGATTTAAAAAACTAAAAAAACTGTAATGAGAAAAACGGTTACATGTACTTGTGGACAATGTACCACATGAATTACATACAACATGTACAATATAACAAGTTTATAATCACAGAATTTATCTCCTGTTCTGTTCTTGCCTACAAGCAGCAAGCAGCAAATACACAGTATTATAATAGGATGTGGGAATATTCAAATATGAAAACAAAACTGCCATCAATGATTGATGAGCAATAAATGAATAAGGAAGCAGGTTTCAAAGCACGGCCTTTTCCATGAAAATATCATAAAGTCCATCAAACTGAAAGCAATATTTGTATTTTGGAAGTACCAATATTGTATTTTAACAGAAAGTGAGAATGTTTACATGTGAAACACAACTGTTATTGGAAAGATTCATCAGCAATGCATGTATATCAGAAAGCCAGTATTGACTCAGTACTTTTCACAGAAAATATCACAGAGGCCATCCAAGCTGAGAGCATCATACATTTTACATGTATTGAAAGTACCAAACACGCCTTGTTATTTGCTAGATATATGGGAATGAATCAACATGAAAGTCCAACTCGTAGCTGAAAAACTTACTTTCCTTTTGGTCCCAGCTCATCCACAAAGGAAAGGTGGCTAACTTCCAGAAACTCCAACTGCCAAAACAGCCAAAAGCACATACATGTACCAGGATTATAATGTGAGTGCAACTTTCCTCAGGGTGGAATGCTGTTTACATATAGTGCATGCTTTCCTATAAGGCAATTTTTAAGTTGGTTTTGCATCTTGGAGACGTAGATTTTACACTGAGTGTTCTTTACTTTGCCAACATGGATTCACAAACACTGCATATTCAGCATTGTGTGAGGGCTTATGAAAACACCACAAGCTCACTTGGGTGGGACTCGAACTAGTGCAGACATCTTTACCACTTGACCACTAGCTGAGCTTGTCTGGGTAAACTTTGTACATACAGTGTTTACAAATGATAGCAAAACCACTCAATATACATGTAGATCAGGCAAATTCTTATTGGCTTTTTCGCAAATTTGCGAAAAAGGTATTCTTTTTGTTCTGATTTTTCGGCTTTTTCGCAAATTTGCGAAAAAGGCAGTCTTTTTGTTCTGATTTTTGTTCCCCAAAAGGCCATTTAATTTGTGCACGTTTTTTCTGGCCACCACTTTAGTGCCTAAACAACTCCCGAATGTCATCAAACTTACACCAATAAAGGACCCTTATGCATAGATGTGCATAGAAGCATGAAGTCATGATGATGTCATCAAGTGATTTTTTATTGATTTTTCAATATGTTTTTTGGCCCATTCACATTGCACACGTTTCTGAGGCACAGTTTTGGTCACTTAGCAATCTTCAATCATTATCAAACTTACACCCAATGACGACCCACATGCAAAGTATTTTCCAAATTGATGACATCATCATGATGTCATCATTTGATTTGCTATGCATTTTTTAATCTTTAATTTTCCCTATAGACTTTGTACATAGATTTCAAGTTGCAATATCTTCAGCTAGCAGACTTGAATCTAAAAGTTACACCAAGCACAGATGATCAGGCAAATATTCTACCGAAGTAGTGATGTCATGATGAAGTCATCATGTAAAATATTTTGAAATTTTCAATCTTTATTTTTTCCCATAGCTTTTTGTACACAGATTTTGGCTACACTAACTAAACTACATGTCCGATCGGGTTGAAACCTTGCGTGTATCCACAAAGGGATGTGTTTGAGATGAAAACTGGCATGATATGTTGACAATGTCATCACGTGACAGGCACGTGACATTGAAGGGGCACTCTTTACAGCATTACGTTTCCTAAACAGAGTCCCAATTTCTATGAAACCTTGCGTGTATCTTGAAAGGGACGTGTTATAGATGAAAAGTGACATTATGTAATGATGCCGTAACCACATGACCATGCAATCACGTAACATTAAAGGGACATTCATAAACAAGTGTTCCTTCTACACTACATATATGTGATTGGGTTAATTGAAAGCTCTCATTTACATGTTTTTAAAAAGTGTTACAGACTTAAACCAATGTGATGTGCCGACTTTTCCAGTATACACAAATTGTTCAAAATTGCAAAACAATGCGAAAAAGTGCTCTGTTCTCTTGGCAAACAGACAGATAAGCTCTCGTTTTATTTTCTTTCTCTGATGGATAAATATGTATTGCACGAAGCAAAATGCACAGACCGCCACCTTTTCTGAAAAGCTCAATACCCAAACTGGATGTGGCCGAATTGGAAAAACCATCTGTTTGTAAAACCTATGTTGAAAACATGCTGCCACTTCTAGTCACTTGTAATGGCCATGGTCACTAAAGTGATAAGCTTCAAATACACTGTATAGGAGTGACAGGTTAAAGTATAATGAGGTATTGCATAATTTGTTTTACAGCTTACACTTAATAAATAACTTTTGTCATAGTCTGTGTGATTACTTTTAACTGATGAACATACATGTTCATGTACATGTATGCATCATACATGTACATGTCATAACTATTCGGTCAGTTAATATTTGTGTGACTGTCACTGGTAATTGTAAGCAATCTCTTTATCAACGTGCAAACTGGCATGTGCACAGCATGTAGGTACTGCATAAGCTGGTGCCCAGCCAGCTGGTACTTTAGCAACCTTTAACATTGTACAACAGGCCACATGACAAGCTCTCGGCCCATGAGAATGGCTGAACTGTCTTAGGTTATTATGAAGAGTATTTAAAGTTGATGCCTGTACGGTACATGTACTTCCTGAACAAGGACACTGAAGAATTGGGAGACTTCTCACATATCGGTACATTGTAGGGCTGGATAGCTCAGACGCTACAGAACCAGTACAGTGTATTGCAGATAGTGGGTTCAAATCCCACTCAAGCCAATCATCATTCAATCTTCGACATGTACATGAATAGGGTCTTCACTGCATTAAATAGGAATTCATTAACCCCTTACAAAATCTGTGTAACATTTTCTTAACACTTTTCCCAAAACTCACGTTCTGCAATTGTAAAAATTTAACTTCCTAGATCTTTTCATATCACTACTGGTACAGTGCTCACCGTTTGGGGGTGGTTCCGATACAGAGGATTTCTCACTAAACTCTTCAAGTACACTTCGTATTGATGCTGACAAATAAGCAGAAAAAAAAACATGATTTAAGTGGGTGCATCATATCGACAGAAACTAAAAACTGCCACAGAAATCTACAGAACTGACGGTGTTGAATAATCAGAGAGACCAGAAATACATGCTGCGCTGTTAGAAATATACAGGAAGGTATTGTAGGGTACCACTTTCTGTTCTCATTTTCAGATCAAATTTCAGATTTGAAATTTACATCCTGATTGAGGGAGTCTGTGAGTATAAAAATTACGATTAATACTCACAATATCCGATCAGATTTTATCAGCTTGTGTGACTGAATTTTTTCACTGGTAATTTCTGCCTCTCGGATTGCCTACTGCAGCATACATGTACACACATACACTGTGTGACTTCCACTCAAGCCGACATGATAAAAAGTGTTAACTATCTTCACAATGACTGTGCACAGCCTTACATTTGATTCTGAACAAAAAAATAAAATGTGAATAAACAAAATTCCCATGAAAATCCAGCTTCACTATAATACCAGATACTGTGATGATAACTTCACTTCACAGGTATATGTAACAGAGGTCTATTACTGCAATTCCAGTAACGACAGCCATGTGGTACTCAAATGGACCATTACGGTAACAGGCAATTTTGCACAAGCAAATTTATCTGACAAAAAGAAATTAAGATGTTCGCTTCTTCCTATGTTATGCGTTCTCCAGGGAACAACTGCAACAACTGCATGTAAAGTCATGGATCATGTGCCTGTCTGACGACCAGCAAACTGTTTTCACCGAGTTGCAGCCATGCAGCCACAAGGTAGTGGCTGGGCTGTACCCTAATTCCTCAATTCTACAGAATCCTACAAAACCTTATTCTGGGAGGTTAAGGTATGGTAACACTCACTCTCACAGCTAGTGCAGTTGACCAAAGGCTTAAAATTTTTTCCTACGACAAAAGTACATTAACATGGGTCAAGTACACTACGTACATGTATATACATAGATTGGTTGGACAGTGAAGGTCTGAAGACGTCAAAATATTGAAAAGCCAGGAATAATATTTGGGACAATTTAGGATACTTACCAATACACACAGTATCCAGTACATGTAGAATCACTGCACATGTACCAGCATATTCCAAGTTCAATGTAATATATTTCCACATTGATGAATAAGTACTGTACGTACATGTACATGTACATGTGCATGTACCACAGGGAAATTCAAGAATCCAGGCAGCATAATTATGGAGAAGAAGAGATCTGTCCTGTGTATAAAGTCTGTGACATTTGGGGGGGGGCAAGTGTTTGATGTGGGGTGGGGTGGGTGGGGTGGGGTGGGATTGGGTTGGGTGTTTTTGCTTGGGGACTTCCAAGGCACATTTATAGTTTCAATTTTGTTTTGGTCGGATGTGTTTTGTGTCATAAATGTGCACAATGTATGAATGTGTATTACTTACCACACAACAAACAACATTATAAGGGTAGTTTTTATTTCATATAATCATAGTAAAATAAGGCTCCTAACAATTGGTGTTAAGGTACAAAGATGGCATTGAGCAGTGTGAGGACTCACCATTCTCTTAGGCAGCTGCTGGGCTCGTACGAATGCATCGGGTGTCCTGGGAAAATGTGCCAAGTCCCGATCACGGTTGGCCTTGAATGTTCGCCTCCTCTGAAGATGGCTGGCCGAGTAGATGAAAAAACAGTGAATGTAATAAAATCAGATAAACAGAACCAAACAAATGGTGGGGTTGGAACTAATATTTGGAGAAATGCAACACTGGAGAAACTATTGCACAGGCAGATAATCAGCTGCACATACATGTTACATATATCTCCCCCCAACATGCCAAAATATTCAAAACTTAGGCTTTTAAACTTACCAGATATTACACACAGTATAAATGTACACTTTTCAACTGTGATATTCCAAAATTTGCCACATGGACTGCAATTGTGCCTATTCTTACTTGCCCTAGCCTTGATTGTAACAGGCACATTGTTGCCAGCAATAATTCAAATTTCATCAAATTTGGCTGGAATACAAAATTGAAAGGAGTGGGATTAGAATAGCAGATTACGATGCATGGATTCTGAAAGTAAAATAGGCTCCGATGTGACTCCTGTTCATTGAACCATGGAGCTATTAAACACAAGGAGTTAGAACAAAGTCCCTGCAGACCGTAATCCGCAAGGATGCATTTGACAAGGTGGTGAGGTTTCATGCCGAGGCAGTTGTGGACAATGACAGAAAGGACAACGAATCTTCCCATGTTTTTTGTGTGCTTTTTTTATTTTCCTCTGGACCAGCTACATTCTTTCAGTTTTCTTGTGCGTATTTTTTGGAGAATTTGTATTAGTAAGTAATTCTGTTTATTGTTAAGAGAGACGTTTTGGGGATGTAAAGACGTAACCAGACTTTCATTGTCATTGGAATATCGGGACAGTCACTAAAATTATCGAAATTTAAGTCTCCAATGACGATGGTTTCTATCTCAAGGCGGCCATGTTGAACATGCAGAAGTGTTACGGACACGCATGCGCGGTACCCATGATCCTTTGCAAATGCAACTCCGAGCATTTCTTTTAGCCCGCAAGCAGCGCAGAATTTGTTTTGTCCTTGCAGCATGTGAAGTGCTGGCGGTGGCCATCATTGACCCTTTTGATCTCTGTATGTGCCGACTTCTTCTGTTTAATAGCTCCATGACTGAACAGATGCTAACCAGTCATGTACATGCACATGCATGCACTGCAAGTACATGTACATACATGTACATGCATACATGAAAACATCCAAGTACAGATGTACCCAATTAGGAATTACAATGAAGAGAAGTTGTCTTAGTCGGCACTTCATCTGTGCCAATGTGTGGTTGGAGGGCAGGACACTCAACCTTGAAACCAGTTGTTACCTGGACCAACAGTGTCAAAATGTCACAAAACGTGCGGTTACCAAACAAAAGCTTTCACTTACGTGTACATGTACATGTAATCCCACAGATACAAACATGTACATACTTTGCAATTGTTGGTTACCAGTACATGTACGCAAACACAACACTTTCTTATTTTTGTTCATTAGGCCATGCGATCAGTTTGTACTCTTCATATACATGTACATGTATGTACCGGTATGTATGTACTAGTATGCATGTTACGTATGCGGCACGCCCAAATCTGTTCTTTATCAAAAACACATGCAAATTTATACCCCTTTGCAGGAGCAAGAAATTATAGTAAAGTGCCTTGCCCAAGAACACAAACACAATGATCCCAGCTGCGGTTCAATTCTGCATATTGCAGAGAGAAACGGAGTGCTCATGTGGGTGATGCTGCATTTGCACTCACCCGCGGTCGCCTATGGGTATGGCAAGACGAGCTTTGTACAGTAACATCTCTTCGTGGAGCTTCAAAAAGTCGTTGCTCCGACGCTGTATTGTCCAGATGCAAGTGCCATGTTTCACCTCGATGAAGTACCTGGATTCGCAGAAAATCAGCAGGGAAAACAAGCAACTTCACACATCATCAAAGAATGAGAAACAGGTGAAGCCCTTGCATTGAGTGGGCCTGCATTTGTTCACCATCCCGTTTGTGTTTTTAGGATGTCATTTCCCAAATCTGTTTTCTCAGGGCTATTTTTCTTTCCCAACTCCCAGGGTCACAGTAAATCTGTATCAAATATTACAGGGGCGCTTCCTGATAAACTGAAATCTGGCACTATGGCAGAGGGCTGATCAATGACTCGTTCCATGCATTGCCATGATACTGATACAACAGACCCGAGGCAAAAAGACATGTACATGTAATAGCGGCTGGTCTGTGAAGTTCCATTAATCTACATGTACACTGTACATGTACCGGTACATATTGGAAAATCATTGCTTCTTAATGTACATGTACAGTGTATTGCAGCAGTTTCGGGTTACCAATTATGTACATGTATACATGTACATGTACATGTATGTATACATTTAAGCACCGGTACAATGTATATTTTTCTTTTTCATTTTCCAAGTGCTCATTAAGTTTTTAGAATGAAAGTACCAGTATTTTAAAAGCCTTCCCTAACCCTCTTCAATCCTCCAAAATCCTTCAGGCAGTTTGGAGGATTTTGAAAGATTGAGGATGAATGGCAAAAGTGTATGGCTGATTGTGAAGGATGCCATACGTGAAGGTCGTGGATTAGACCTTGTATTGTTTTCGCTTAATTAAGCACAAATTCAGCCCAATATTTCTTTTGAACCAACCACACAGCTGAAGAATGCCCTTCGCACTGCCTCAACATACTGTAATCACAGGAATTGCCAGAGGAGTTTGAAGGATTGAGGCAGTAGCCACACCTCCAAAAAACATTTTCAAGAAATTTTGAAAGATTTCGGATGATTGAGGCTGAATGCATATTTTTCTTGTAAAAAATCGGAGGATTTTGGAGGATTAAGGATGGTTCCTACATGTACAGTGTACATATAGTAAAAAGGCTTAGATTAAAGATATTGTATCAATACAGCTACTTCTTTGTGGGAAAGAACTGTCATTCCATACAGGTACATGTACGTGCAATGTACAAAGTAAACTGCACATGTACATGTACATTAACCTGTCTCCCCTATAAATCCAAATCTCAAACTTGCACATACATTACAAAAAATCCTGCTGCATTAACTGGGTGAACTACATTGTACATGTTTGGACAAGCCAATTAAAAAGGTCCAAACATGTACATGTAGTCCAAATAACACACAGGTGCATATGTACATACATGTACCAGTATGCACACTGAGTAATGCATGTTCAGTGTACAGGTGTAGTTCTGTCCTTGATCAACTGTTGTTTTTTCTTCCAGCAAGTCATTAACAGGTAGGTTTCAACTACATGAATAGGACACTTCTTCCTAAATGTTGATTTCCCCCAAGCCCAAGCTCACAGAAGTTAACTGTCACATTGCTCCTACTCACAGGTTAGGGTTGATGAATTGGGAAGACGAAGACCGTCCGCAGTCCACCACGGTGACTTCCAACTTCTGGTGGGGTAGGAAGACACCCCGCCCTACCTCTCGGAACCCCTTTGGCTCTGAGTGGACGCTGGCGAAGGACCGCATGTGAATGTCTGCAAAAGGTTGTCAACAAATTGGAAAATGCACATACCGGTACTGGATATGTACAGTTGTGCTCAAAATCATTCATACCCTTTGGAAAATAACATGTTTTTCTAAATTCTTCATTTGTAAAAACTACCGGTATTATGTTGGTACTTCCACTATATCTTTTGTCTATTTGTTGCAATACACAAAGTCTCCTAGACTCACCAGAAAAATCTGCCGGGAGGCCAAAAACGACCCGCGGATCACAGCCAAGGCCCTAATACCCTTGACAAGGCAGGGACAAAGGTGTCACAGGCAACCCTCCAGCCAGTATTGCACAAAGGAGGTCTCCACGGACACAGGCCCCGGAAGACACCATTACTCAGGAAGAAACATAAGGAGGCTTGTCTGGCATTTGCCAGAGCACATCTGAACCAAGATCCTACCTTTTTAGTCATCGGTCCTGTAGTCTGATGAGACAAAGATGGAGTTGTTTGGCCACAAGGATAATGCCTACGTCTGGAAGAAGCAAGTAGAAGCACACATGTACAAGCTAAAGAACACAGTCCCAACCGTCAAACATGGTGGTGGCAACATAATGCCATGAGGTTGCTTCTCTGCTAGTGACACTGGAAACCTCATTAAGATACAGGGCATTGTGAAAAAAATATGTGAAAGTGTCTGCATAGAAACTCCAGCTTGGACCAGATTGGACGTACCATACCAGCAGGACAATGAATCCAAGCACACATCCAAAATAGTAAAAGCAGTGGTTCAAGGACAATGGTGTCCATGTACATGTACGAGAATGGCCAAGTCAAAGTCCTGATGTAAATCCAACAGAGAATCTGTGGAGGAAGCTGAAGACTAGAGTGATGCCCAGGAGACCATCCAACCTGACCCAGATGGAGGCTTTCACCAAGGAAGAGTGGGCCAACATCCCACAAGGAGACATGCAGAAAGCTTGTGGACACTTTAATAATTTTGAGCAGAAGCAAAACAAAAACCCAGGCCGAACTATTATTATGCAAATGAAGTTTAGCCAACGCTCTTGTGGGTTTGTGTATTGCAACAAATAGACAAAAGATACAGTGGAAGTACCAACATAATAGCTTTTACAAATGAAGAATTTAGAAAAGTAGGTTATTTTCCAAAGGGTATGAATAATTTTGAGCACAACTGTACCTGTACAATGCTTATACACATACTCTGGACAAGCAAACATGGTTTAAGACGTACTCGTTGACAAGTGGTTGATAGGCACTAAGCATAGTGAAAAGTTTGTTATGAGGGGTACCCCTGACTGACCACCGGTAGGTTACCGGTACGTGTAATTTTCATATCGCAAGAGAGAGGGTACTCCGGTGTACATGTACATGTATGTGTGGACATCATTTGACAAAACCTCTAGAGCAAAAGGTGTCCCATATTTTCATATAAAATGCCTTTTTCGGTGGTTATACTGTAGAGTGTACCGTACCATTTCATTTCCAGTTTAACTGATACTTGGATTTGAAGTGTTTCATTTATGGTCTGCAGCACATGTACATGTACAGTACTTTGTATTTCAAACCCATTACAGGTATAAATGAGAAAATCAGCCCAAAACTGCTTGTGGTATTCAACTGAGAGGAGACATCATTGAACCAGTAAGTCCATCATGCCAGCTTGTGTCTTTCTGCTCTGACAACATGATCCTGATGACGACACTGGGCAAAACTGAACAAGATCACTCCGTGCAACTAATCTGCATCCATGTTTGTGTCAGTCACAAAAGATCGATGCACACAAGTTTGATTTCCATGATTGTGTACATGTACATGTACGTGTACTGCCAGGACTGTTTGGTGTAATGGTAATGCTGTCTGTGTCTATCGCAGGAAACCTCATGTAGGCTTTACCCAACCAAAAACCTAGGGTGTTGAAAAAGATACAAGTGTACCTGGTACATGTGCAGTTTAACACATGCAGGCACAATAGACGGTGTACTAAATCTGATAGATATGTACATGTATTTGTATTCCTATTAGTTTTGGGTAAATTACAGTACAAAATGTCTATCGGAACTACGTGTTGTTGTGTAACTTCCGAATCAATACACGCCCCTCGTGAGTATTGTACAAAGTACATGTACATGTATGCCAGGGTGACTAGTTGTGCACACACAGTGTGGGCGACAAAATGCCGATAATCTATTTCTTTGCAGTTGTGCACACAAAACAAACCTATTAGTGGAATCTAATCTTTTCTTTATTGAAATGAACTTCACATACAGTATTTGATGGCAAAATGTGAGACCCACACCTACTGTAGTGGATTCGTTTAATGCGTAAGTGGGTTACCAGTAGGTGCCGGTACATACTGTGCATGTACATACATATGACAAAAGAACAAGACACCTTGTATGAGACAATGTGCATGTACATGTACATGTAGATGGGTGTGAGCACCCACAACAGATTTTACAAGAAAGCATGACACTTGGTATCAATCCCTACATTTCTACATGTATGTATGTCCATAAATATACCGGTAAGCTATGGAAAATGCACATATGCATTGTACAATGTACATGTACCCGGCATGTAAATTTATACCCAAGTGCAACTAAAAATCATTAAATTAGTAGAGGAAAATTTGGCAACCGTGGAAATTTTTTACTAAACCCTAGCTGATTTTTTGGGTGTTTTACAATGTAAATATTAGACACCAGATTGCTAAGCAAATCATCACGAGTCAATCCATAACTGAGTCAGCCAAAAACTATTCAAATAAACTGTGACCAAAAGGAGTTCAACAGAATCCTTTGGCATTGTGAGTTCCCTGAATTTTGTGACCCAACACTTGACTTTGCCTATGACTGACTGGATTAAAAACTCTGCAGCATTCATACCTTTCATTTCCTGTTAACATCTGCAGACCTGATTTTCCAGGTTTTTGTCTTGTCTCGTCTCCCCTCAGTTATTTTGTACACTCCAGTTTATAAACAAGAAAGTGCCGAGTTGTGCCAGTTCTAATGCACTAAGGTAATGAAAAGTGCATTTCTTTCTCTGGTGTGATTCAAGTGTTAGAGAAAAACACAAAGGTGGAACTCTCACCTGGTGAGTCGGTGTCGTCTTGCAGGTCAGGCTCCTCGATCCATTCCCACTCCAATGCTTGGCTTTCCCGCCCTGAGGGATCACTGAAGAGAGAGCCTGAACGATGGAAGTCCTTGGGCCTGCTGATGGACTGGTGGCCCTGGTTCTTGGAGTAGGCACGCACCCGCTCCATTTCTGTGTCTTTGCATGCCCCGTCATCGTAGCAACTGGAGGAGTCCTTCTCTTTCTTCAGTTGCTGCAGCACGATCTGCTCGGGAGGGATTGGCTTTTGCACACCTTCCGAGGATGGTTCGGTTGCCTTCATCATCTTGACCATGCTAATGGAGATGGCTAGGGTCTGGGATGACCGCTTGGGGGCTGCGTCCGTCTGGTCCTCCTGCTCCTCGCTCACAGCAGACATTGTGGAGGGATCCGTCTCCCGGTCCTCGTCACTGATGACCGTTTCCATGGTAACATTTTCGGGCTCACATGTCCTCACATCATCACTGTCCTCTGCATAATCATGTCTTTCCTCCTTCTCTTCCTGCCTCTTATCTCCATCCTCACCAGTTGCCTCCCCATCATCTTCAACTACCTTAAGTTCAATCTCCCCATCATCCACATCTCCTGTCAGTGCACCTCCCATCACCTCCACTATTTTGTCTCTCTTACCAGCATTTTCATCTTCATCTGTCTTCGCCTCAATGTGCTGATTGTCCTCCAGCTCTGCCTCCATGTTGGCCCCATTAGTGATAACATTCTCTTCATCCCTCTGGCTGTTTGCATCTATAACCATCCCCCTCTTCAAGGATGCTCCCGAATCCCCTCGCTTCCTACCCCTCTTGCCAGTGACGACAAGCTTCTGGGTTTCGTCATCTGTGTCTTCCCCTTCGTGCGCTTTGCCACTGTCATCCCGTGAGTAGTCATCACCTTCGTTCTCATCAATCCCAAATGTCCCATAGTTGGCAATGTAGTTATCGTCGACATCCAGCATGTCTACGCTATCATTGGCCGATATCATGGGCTCTGCATCTTGATCCATCTTGACAGGGTTGAAGGTCTCACTCAAAAACTACAAAGCATTTCTCTCTACAGGAAAGAAACAAAAAAAAAATCACAATAAGCAGGATGCAAAATAACCCGTCTAATACAAACCCCAAACTCTGCACTGCCACACACAATCATATACGTGTATGCTGGTGGCAGAGCAATTTTCAAAGTGAGGGGGCCAATTATTAGACCATCAGGCATCATCCATTAATAGGCGGATCCATTGAGCCCCACCCCATTCCAGGACCTCCAAAGGGGGGAGGCAGGCCCTCCCACTCAAAAAAGTGGATCCTAAGACTAAGTGAGAGAGAAAAAAATTCCAAAATATCAATCATGTACATTCACATGCATATGTATACATGTACATTCTGTACTGTAAGCCGGTTCTTAGTTTCACTTCTCAAAGGAACAAGTGGAGTGAAAAAAAAAAAAGAACTGACAGTCAGGAAATTCATAACCAATCAGCAATTCTGCAAAATATTGCCACACCACCAAGATGATCTGCTCTGGGAGAAAAGAAGTCTGCACCCTGCCTCTGGAAAGGAACTGCTTCTGGTTAAAACAGGAAGTTCACGCCATGTCATGGACAATACTAAACCGACATTAAACCATCCACTGAGTACTGCAGTGTACTGGTGCAAAATGGTGCCAGGCATTTCCTAGAGTACTGATATTTAATACATGTCAGTTGCTCTACCAAATTTTTAATACAGTCTTTATTTCTTCTCAACAGCATTCTTGTAAGTTATCTGGCAATGAAATGGAGCTGTGGTTGAGTCTCAGAAGACCTTCTATTACACAATCAAGGTGGTACAGTAGTAATCAGCATGCGTACCGTACTGATACGGTACATCAAAATCCTCAGTGATCAAGCCCACACATCAACCGGTGTTGTATTTACTCAGTATTGTACATTATGAGCACTGTGCATGAAGATGGACATGAGTGCCATTTAAAGACACAGCACTAGCACATGTACAATGTATGGTCAAAATTGTCCTCTTCAAGCTTACAGCTTACATGTACATTGTACATATGTGCAGGTATCCTAATTCAAACTTTTTGCTTTGCATGAGGGTACTAGCCTTTCACTGTTGACAAATACTGGCTGAGACAACACTCCAACACCCTAGGTGCACGGTCACACCACCCTCCTAGCAGTCCTCTCCCACATAAGAGAAACTACAGACTAGTGAAGTTACTGGTACTAGTACACGTAGAGTGCTTGCCTGTACTCAGTGCCAGACTTGCTGGGAATGAGCATTCAAGGGAAAGTCTTGTGGGAGAATATTCTGCCAGTTCTGTCTATTACACTGTGATTCAGAAGTCTTTGGGGACTCAGAGGTTGGCATCGTGCTTCTTTCCTTGCCTTTCACCTCTGCAGCCAGGGTTCGATACCCTGTTTGGTCCACATGTTGATGAAGTTATCAGTCAATCCCTACCTACATGTAATTCTGTGGGTTTTACCCAGAATATTCCTCTGGGGTTTTCTTCCCACCTCTGAAGCTGTAATTTGTTCTTACCTTTCTCCTCTCCACAGGTTTCTTTAAGCTTAGGGCAATTTTGAGAATTACTTGATTTCTTTACCAGAAATACAGTACTTACCCCATACTACATGTAATATAATAATCAAAGTGTACACATGGCTCTGGAACCAAACAACAGAATGGAATCCATTCTCTTTGACAGAATCTCTGGCCATTTCCTGAGTAGCATCAACACATAAATCTGCCTGAAATTATACAGGTTTATTGTAATCAGTGAGAACATATGGCATCTCAGGCTATCAGTGATTGACAGAAAGGTTAATCATCCACCATTAATACATGTATGTTTATCTCAAAGTGTGAGAATTTCTTTATTTACACAAAAATGGAAGTGTCAATCATAAATTGCACATTAGGCATGCATGAAACTATTTTTTGCACAGATGAAATAAAGCTTCCAAATATAATCATCACAGATAGGCTAAAGGTATCATGCACAGATTTTTTTCTGAACTTTGTCAGTGCAGTTCCTAAATATGACACACTCAGTATCACACTGAATAACTGAAAACTGCTGCTAGCCACAGATCTTCATTAACTCTACATGTATCACCGTACAGTGCACACTATGAAGTACATAACATGATGGACAGTCGGAAATGAACAAAACAAGGCCTTTCAGATCAAAACATGTCAAGGTCAGTCAATATCAACCCCTATGATGAATTACAAGTACCCATTTGTGACAACCAGTATTTTAAAGAACTGTCCACAATGTACAGTAAAAAGGAATCACTGAAACGAAACCAGCTAGTTGTAATTTGTCACAAAGAGACTTCTTGCACGATGCACCACACATGTACATGTACATACTGTAGATGAGTCCTAGGCTTCCCTTCACTGTCAAAAAACCTACATGTAAAGAATCACCTGACAGATTCAAGCAATACAGCCAGCACACATGTCCTCTACTGATGTATGTATGTCACAACCATGATGTTTGTAAAACTGCAAAGTTGGATTCTGAAACGAACTGTGACTCTAAAGACAAGCGTGGCTACAAAAAAAACCACATGTAATCTGACAGCAGTTGACACACATGTACATGTAGGCCTACATGTACATGTACATGACAAAGTACATGTACATGTAGTTTGTAGGGAATCAGAGTAAAAAACTTTCCTTTTGATCTTGCTGGATTAAAAATAAGTACATGTACGGTACACTTGTGTAAGTTCTCAAGAAGTCAACAGGTGTCTCCCCTATAAAGTACATGTACACCTGTGCAGGTACATGTATCTACTGGTCCTGCCGATAGATAAAAGAAGATATTCTCAAACTTTTGTTCTCTCCTTATAATTGCATGTACAACTTTACCGGTAGTGAAGGATTTATTTCTGCAAATTCCCACTGGCTGGTTTTGGTCAAGCCAAACAAAGACTAACTACATGTATACCTGAACAGATATTGACCAGATTGAAGGGTGCTAAATGCAGAAAGCTGCGTCCATGCATGGTACAGGTACATGTAGGCAGGTATCAGTGAACATTCAGCCCATCTGCACTGTGAAGCACTGGTTGGACTGCCTTGCCAGCAACAAAAAAGTTGACTGAAACCTTGCAAGTCAAGCCCCTCAACTAGATCTGTACATGTATATAAATAGCCAAGCTCATCAAATGATACTGATGAGGAATTCTGGCGCTGGCAATATGCACAAAAGCTGCATTCACAATGCATTATTTATCTTTGCAAAGTCCACTGCCCAATTCATCCGTATCAGGTCAGCGAATTGAAGTCAACAAACTACCGGTGGGTGTGCTATACACATTAATCTCAGTTTCCATGGTAACAGACAGTAGCCTTGAGCTAAACATTACCACAAATATAACCAATTCAGAGATGTTTAATTTAAAGGACAGTCACAACTGCTCCTGAAACTGGGAAGAAGAATTTTCATTTCAAAACCTGCACATGTGCACAGTGGGTAGTGAACTTAAAATGTACCAGTGCATGTACACTGTACATACATGTACATGTACATTTGCTTTCACTGTGATCAGGGTATTTCCAGCTCTGTCAGTGATTTCATGTCTACAGCCATTCAAATTTGAAATTTAAAAGGAAGTTTAGGAGTGCCTGTCTTTGCTGGCTTGTTTCCATCTACCTAAAAGCAATTCCACATACAGGGTACAGTACTTGAGCCAAAGATTTACTGACTGACTGTCTGACATTTTACCTACACGTACACTCCAAATGTTAAAAAGAAATATATAACCCAGCCTGGGTAATTGAATTAGAAGCAGCCAGAGCCAATGTCAAGTTAAAGGCTTTGATAAAATCTTGCACAAGGTACTAGTAAATCGATAGACACCCTCCACAAGTTTCACCCATATCTACACTGTAACATCGATTTTCATTAGGATGCTAACTGAGTGACACATGTACAGAGTAACTCAAAAGAAGTGGCTCATTTTTTTTCTTTCTGATCCACATTAGAACAAATTTACTGGAGAAATGGCCTAAAGACTCATTCTGTGGGACGGCGTCACAAATCTTTGTACAGTGAAATGCATACATGTACAGGCATATGTGCAGTGAACTCTCACTGTATCAAAGTAACATGCAAAAGGACCAGAGAAATTACTTTGTATTAACCAAGACTTTGTTATAAAAGGAGTGGAAAAAATTACAAACATCCAAGAAATGGGGATGCTCACAGTTTGCTCTTGATCACAGTACATGTATTTTGTTTCAAATACCCTGCACATGTACCGGTAACAGTGCGCTTTACAATGGAGAGCACACTGAATACAAGGCCCTTTCGGTGCCCCCTCTGGACCCATCTCTCAGGCTATCCGGTTAAGCCAACTGGATACACTCACTGACATAAATGCTTAATGCATGTATGAGTCAGGGTGCTTGTGGTGAGGCAAGAGACAAAGTTATTCCAACAACTGGTGGTGCATGTGTGAAGCAAATTTATGAGAGCAAATGTCATAATGCACAGACCTACATGTAAAGTGTATATAAAGCTACATACCGGAGTGTGTATGTACAATGTACATGTGCAGGTATGCTGACGTGGGTGCATCAGGGTCCTTCGCCTGGACAACATTTCGGACGACAATACAAACGACATGTGCACCACAAGGTTCTTTATGGCTGTGTTGCAGCATGCTTGCAGGAAGTGCGTACAGTTGATTTGGAATGGGAGGATAACTGTCCCAGTGGGTGCTGGATACATGTACATGTACACATACTAAGTACATGTAGGGTACATGTACAGTATTAATTGCAGCCGGGAATGGCTCAAGGGCACTTTACAAGGATCTTGAGGACAACGCGAAAGTGAGCTCAAATGTACACATGCAGATTCCTTAGAAAACCCTACGTATGCTTTTAACAACCCTAAGGGAGACAAGGGTAATTCCAGAAATTAGGGGTCCAAAAGTATGACATTATTGTGTCCCTGTTACATCTGACCTTTGTTATTTGACATCACTGGAATTGTTTTCAAACTATTACAGACATTTGCAAAAGTTTAAGACCACCTTTTATTTTATTTTGGTATTTCTGTCACTGGGCCTGCATTACACTGTCTCACTGAATGATTACTTAACACGATTTTACAGTGGTGCATAACATCAGTGTAGTGCTATATACCCATTTGAATGAAATTTTTTGCAAAGTTACATGTAGGTCTTGTATGACATTTTCTCAGCAAGGCAGCATGGGTAAAAAAAAGCCAGTCTAAGTAATCAGAAATAAAGGAGGGCACACTGAATATTAGACTGTTAACATGTCAAATCATGGAAATGTAGTCAAAAATGCTCAACCAAGGTACCAAGGTTACACATTGAAAATAAAAACATACATGTAAGTTGCCATGATTGATTGGTTTTAGTTTGGTTTTCCTTCAGGTTAATGCATTTTTCTATGGATGGTCCTAAACTTTTGCAAATGACTGTACTATTTGTTTGACAGGTAATTTGCATTAATTCATCACTCTTGAAAATTAGAAAATATGTTCTAAACTTACAAAATCATACGTCAGATGTACATGTAACACGGATACAAAAACATGAATCCCTAATTTCTAGAATTACCCACAAGTGAAATGAGGAGGAAATTTTCAGGTGTTGGGGAATGAGGGAAAAAACCAATCGCAATAAAAGATGGAGTAAGCAAACGGAAACAGATTGGGACTAAAAGCCCAATCCAATGCACCGATACAATGTGCCAAGTATCAGTACATGTATACATGTATATTTGCATTTGACCCTAGAGGTACACAAGGAAAGTAGAGACCTGCAGTACCCCCTAACCTGGACACAAGAGATAATGAATAATTACTGCTTAACTCAGAATTACAAAATACATCCATGTATGAAGCACTGAGGGCTTCAATAGGGCAGAGTCAATTCAAATAATTCACTATTTGAATATTCAACCTTCAATTCAATCGCAATCTGAATATTCGGTCGTACTGACTGGCAGATTGTTGAAAAACCATACAAAATCAGTTTTAATAATGCTCATAATTGTACATTTTAATCACTTAATAGCTTTTCACTTCTACCGGTAAGAATATCTCCAGCCACAATTTAGCAAGATTTAAGAGATGAACAATACTTCTTGCCATGATGAAAACTTCTATTCCTTTGAAATTTTTTAATGATAATTTACTTTCTGAATCTTAAGATATATTATGTCGCATTTCATTTAAATCTGCTTTAAACAAGCCTCCATAGTCCCTTTTCATGAATTTTGCATTTGAATATTCAAACTTGAAAATTAATATTCAAATATTCGATAATCAATCGAATAATCAGATATTTGGCACAGTCCTAGCTTTCAAATACAAAAGAAAGGAACAGAACATGTCCATTTCAATCAAACACCCTCAACACCCCAAACCATACATGTACAGTACATGTACATGTACATGTACGTGCACCGTTACAAGACATCAGCTCAGATGGACCACATCCAGACAAATCTGACCACTGATGAATGCCCTCCGAATTGTTCCTGCCCCTTTCCATTCATTTCGCTAAAAAAAGAGAAGAGAAAGTCCTAATGCATAAGAGTTAACAATTACAAATTCCAAACATAAAAATAAGCACATTACCACACATGTTCTTCAAAAGCTACATGTACACGCATGCAACATCCAATAAAAAAGTGTACTCCACACACGCGCACGATGTAGCGGTACATGTACCATGTATAAAATGTTAAGGGAGCTTTTTCATGAGGTTTCTGGTTTTCAGTGCATCATGTATAATTACACAAGAGCAACTACAGTATAGAAGGCAGACCCTCAATCTACATGTATCTGTCAGTCATTGCCAGAGGCCGGACATACATGTAACTTGACTTTGTCTTGACTTTGCTATGGGAATATCAGACATCTGATCATCAGCGGCAAATTTCACACAGCCAATGCCTGCCTTGGCCTGTTCACGGACAATTTCTCACATCCTACATGTAGATTTCTTGCCTACAGCGAACGCCCAATAAAAAAATGATCCATGTGTGATCAACCAATGCTCCCGCCCCCTTACAATTACAAACAAAACCTTACCAGTAATTATGGTAGTCATATATTTTTTATCAAATCAAGCGTGCTGTTTCCAATCTTAATCTGCATTACTGATTACCAATAGCTCTAGGAACTGACGGCGCAGATGATTCTGCATAATCTCCGAGGGGGTAGGAAGTCTTGTATGTACATGTACATTGTACATGTAAGTATTACTGTCCTTTTCCCTGAGGAGATTAAGAGAAGGTAATACATGTAGGCAGATGATGTCCAAACTTTCAAGGAGAAAAAAAAATGCTTGAAATGGTGTAAAAAACTACAAAGAGAAAAAAAATAAAGCAACAAAATGAAGAAAAAATCACTGCGTACATTCAAACAAAATCAAAGAAAAATGGATTAACTAAAAGCAGAACTTTTCCACACAAATATAAAGCAATCCTCAACTAACTGCACAGCAAAACACACTGTTTAATAGAGAGCTTTGAATGGAAATATAATTCCACCATGTTACAAATAAAATGAATAAATCAGAGAAAAAACTTGAAATACGTTTAAAGTAATGTACCAGTTTGGTACTTCAAAAAGCAGGTGATTGGTGGAACAAAACATGCATGTGAGTAAGCAAACGGCCGCAAAGATGGGACAGACTTAGCACGTGCATCTGAATGACCTCAGACGCGCTTCATTTTACGCATGTGCAGTTGCAGTCTGAACAGGCTCATTCAAAGACATTGCAGAGTCATTTTCTACTTTAAGAAACAAGTCCACAGTGATACTGAAGTACTCCATGATGAAAGGTACATGTACACAATGCACCTTTGCAGACTACAATTAGTGGTTAATTTGGCTTTTCAGAATTTTGTTCACACTATAAAAAGCTATAGTACATTTAAATGTACATAGGCTCTATCAGTTCTTTTCAGAACCCCACATACGCAAAAGAGATATTTCTCACATGTTGTATCCGCAAACCCTCTACCTTATAGGCCCTACCTGTAATACTGGCAAACTTGAAGTAAAATTTACAACATTAATGTGAAAGCATCAAATCATACGTGTAAATTATCACGATGTGAACCTATGCTTAGGATGCATGCAAACAACATGCAAACAACATTCTCATTTGAAAGTAGTAGTGTGTAGGCCTCACTAGTCTTGGCTTCCACTCCCCAAAGCCGGCAGGGATATATTTAAGCAAGCATTTACAAAATTGAAGTGTCCAAACTTGCCCTGAACTCCAAAATTGGACAGTCATGCTGCTAAGGTGTTAACTTTGGAAATAAGTTGCATACACAGACACAAGTAATGCTACATGTCCCCAAAAGGCAAAGTCTAATTTATTACGGTACATGTAAGCCCCCTATGGTCATATTGGAACGTGTACTAGTACTGGTCATGCCTGTATTAAAATTAGTCTCACAGTCAGGGGGTACTTTTGGGACACTGCAAGAAAATGTGAATTTTGTTTATTTCGGTAGTTGCAAACCAGACATCTACAGGAAAGAGTTCCATAATATACGGACGCCACTTGACACCCTGTGCACAAACCGTAGTAGCCTCTGAGACTGGTCTAACAAAATTCTTAAGTACAGTAGGCTACTCTGGTTAGGCGCATAGGCCTATTTTCTAAGTAAATGACTTGGTATTTTCCCTTCTAAATTGAATTTCTCTTTGCTTTCTGAAGGCTAACAGGTCATTGTAGTGAATAATTATTAAACTTACGTGGTGTGTCATGAACTGCCGAGAACGGGATACAACCTTGTAAAACTTGCCCTCTTCACTGGTAGTATGGTTGTATGCGCCTGGAACTCGAAGTAGGGCCTACCTGTACGTACCGTGCCAGTACATCACCGTGTTCAAGCATGGAGGTAGAATCACAAGTTTGCGATATTCGTCATATGTGACAGGGGCCACATTACATTGTACATCTAGGCCCGCGCGAATTCAGCTGTCAGGACAGTGTCAGCCAAACCACAGCAACGAACTGCGAATCCACACCGCGCCCGCACCAGCACACTAATTCAGTAGGACATTATCGTATCAGTTCATCGCTGTCCAACGTCAAAAGCTCAAGGGCGGGCCCTGCATGTAAATGCATCTACTAACTGCGACACTGTAGTTCAGGTCTGAAAGTGCTCATTTTTGTCGACGTCTCACTTCCGTGGTCCTCCGTTTTCCTTCCTCGTGCTGCGCTTACGAGGACTACGGTAATGTCCAGGTCTACATGTATATGTGTACGTGTGTCAGTACATACAGTACACAGCGGGTACCTGGGCCACACTTGCGCCCGGTAGCTGCAGCACGTGCACCACCGGCTGTGCACCACGCACGTCATTGGCTGTTCGTGTGTGTCCCAGTGAAACTTTTGAAAGTCAAACAGTGAAAGCTTTGAATATTTCCACGGCACGGGGTTGAGCAGTCACAGTTATCCTCCAGGGTCTATCGACGATTCATGGTTTTATCAAACAGGCCCACGGTACGGAGCGACTGAAATGTGTACAAGCTTTGTAATTGTGTGTTTTTGAAATATAGGCCGACAAGCCACTTTTCATGCTGTTGTTGTAGATTAATGGCACATGCGGCAGACTAGTGCCCTAGCCCTGCGTGCCACACAAGCAGTGTAGTCAGCATCACTCGTAGGTTGATTGTATTAATCATCTCACATTCTGTAAAAAAAAAGCACACATGAAATAGAAAAAGATATGCAAGATAAATGTATCGGATAGTTAAAGGAGTCTGCATGAGTGAGTGTTTTCAAATTAGCAGGAGTCTTCCCCAAGCAGATGTACATGTATGTGTAAACAAGACGGACCTTATAGTGGAAGGGAGGGGGCTTGAAGAATCCCCCATACACTCCACTTTTCATGCTCCCTTGAAAAAAGTGTGCGCCTCGGGTGCGTCCTCTGATGTCACCTGGTTACACCACTCAGGGGCGGATCCAGGAATTTTTCCAGGGGGGAGGTTCAAGCCGGAGATCATTAATGTCTCATAATGAAACCTTACACATGACTTACATTGTTTACAGTGGTATTGGTGCACTTACTTCAGCTACTTTTTATCATTTCCCCTGTTTTTATCGGTTTTTGTCTCAGAGAGGGGGGGGTTCGACCCCCTCCCTGGAGCCGAGCTGCCATGGACACTTTGTTTCCCAATCTGTTTGCTAATCTCATATGAGTGAATTTCCTCTCAAGTTCAACAGATTCAGATTTTCCACTTTTTCAAATTAAGTCGGAGTTAGTTGTACTCTGAAATCGCCTGGTCCTTATACATGCAGTTCCAATATCTGAAGCAGGATATTATTTCTAAAAGACGACACTCTAAAGGGACAAGGGGCCGTCCATAAAGTACTTACGCATGAAGGGAGAGGGTTGGTGCCGTTATGTACAGGCATGCGCACACGGGGGGTGGTTCAAGCGGGTGTGTACCATACGCAAACCGAAACTTTGCCTTTAATGAATCTCCATCATATCAGTACACTTTGTCATAAAAATAAATACCAGAATCACCTTTTGTGCGTCGAAAAACCATTCACACACCGTATCGTCCACCCCACCATTTATGCCACTCCCCATCAACACTCATTATTGGTAAACCACAACATTCACTCGTGACACAAAGACCAGCAGCGTAGGCGCCCCACCTGTGCCGAAGTATAATAACAGTGCTAAAGTGTTAAAGACAACGTTAAACACTTTCTCATTGAGTGCTCAAAATTTCACTCTCAAAGAAAACAACTTAAGAAAGCACTAAACCCATCTGACTCTGAAATGTCCCTAATAAAATTGTTAGGGGAAAGATCTATTACGCTGAATTACATAAAAGCCTGTAAAATAAAAAAAAAAATAAGCTTTCTCTCTCCCGTGAAAAATTTCTATTCTAGCGGTCCAAGTCACCTCTGAATAACATATTGCATATGGACTGTGACACGGGTTCTGTGTCTTTGACCATTTGGTCTGCGCTGTGTCACCTTCATCACCAGGGGTAGGCTGCAATGTACCGGCTGGGCTCGGGCCCTTAAGGGTGTAGTCCACTAATTCAAGCCCCATTGAATATAGTGTAAAATCAGCATCGTACGGGGTCCAATAACATGCCTACCAACTTCCCTGACTCGGAGGTTTCTGAAACACACGTTAAATTATTTTATGGTCCATAATCTTTCACTTTCTTTGTGGGTTAACTGATTACATTTTGAGTTATTCCCACAAAACAAAAATACCCCCCGAAAAGTGACCTCCTCCGAAGTCTGCTTGCAACCATTTTTCAAGTGACAATCCTCAACTCTCTGGGGCACTTAGGCCCATTTTCAACCGTATTGTTCAGCCATTCTGCTCTCAGCTGAAAGCCCAAAGGTCCAGGGAGTTGATTGCAAAGATTTGCACAATCTCGCCATTTTGGGGGCCATAAAATCTCCTTTTTCGAAAGATATTGTGGGGGCACTTTTAATGCTAATAAGCTTGCCAGAAATTCGTACTTGAATTAGAGGACTGCACCCATAAATTGCTCGGGAGACTGCTCGGACCTAGAGGGAGCCCTTCTGTGACACTGTTGCTGGACGGTTACGGGCGCAATGACCACACAATTCTCCATTTGATTTTCTGATTCATTTTTAGCTGTTTCGGGCACCAGCCGAAACAGCTATTGTTTTTGTTAATTATTTTTTTCTTTTTTTATTATTATTTTTTTAAATTTCTTCTTTCACATCAAATCCCATTCTATACCATGGGTTTTCGTTCTGAGCAGGACTTCTACCCTTTTGCAATTTTCGATTGACTTCAAACTTGGCAGGTCTTTGGACAATCATTCAAAGATGGTCCTAGAAGAAATTCACAATGATAACTTAATTAGTTTATTTATTATTGATTTTTGAATAATTATTTTTTCCCATAGACTTTGTACACAGATTGCACAGAGTTTTCGGACTGCCCTATATCAGGCTATGGGGGCGCTATTGCAGAATTACGGTTACACATGCCGGATGGGGCATCAATTTTCAACAAACTGTTCTATATTGCACCATAGATGGCGTTGTTGCAGAAGAACGTAAACACTACCTGAGTTTTGATTTTTGTCGATCAGGTGTGAGCAGTCCTCAACTTCAGAATTACTACCAGAACGAAAGAGAAATCAGACTAAACCTTCCGTTCGATTGCAACTATACCCAAGACTCAGATCATCAAATAATATTTCAGAATTTTTTTTCCAGTTTAGACAAAAATCACGTGACTTAACATTAAAGGAGCAGTTTTCCTGCACACGTGTTTCTAGCCCGTTGACTCTGTACACGTTTTCGAGCCAGAATTTTGGTAACTTTGCAATATTTGATCGTTCCCGAAGTGATAGTCCACAAAGACCCTGATGCAAGATTTATTGCAAAGGGATGACGTCACGTTTATATTGATTTTTTAATATTTTATTTTTCCCCATAGGTTTTGTACACGATTTTCTAATTAACATGAGTGAACGGGTAGTCCTTTACTTCGGTGCAAAAGAAATTAGGTACTTAACGCTCTGTTATTTGATTTGAAATATGGCTAAGAGTCTAAATACGATGTAATATTTCATAAAAATTGTTCAGTTTAAGCGCAAATCACGTGACATGAACGTAAAGGTGCAGTGTTTCTGCAAACGAGTTTATGGCACATATTGACTTTGTACACGTTTTCGAGCCACGATTGGGGTAACCTTGCGATGTTTGATCGTGGACAAAGTGATAACCAACAAAGACCCTGATGGAAGGTTTGCAGAAAATGAATGACGTCACGATGACGTCATCACGTGAGTTTTAATTGAATTTTGAATATTTTATTTTCCCCATTGACTGTGTACACAGATTTAAGCCCTTATTTTGGTAACTTAGCGATGTTCAAGGGCCATCACAGTTACACTAAGTAAAAACCCTGTAGCAAATATTTTATCTAATGAATGACGTCGTGATGACGTCATCACGTGACTTTTAAAGTTTGTCTTCATCTGTGCGATGCCGTGCAAGTTGATTCGATGGGTACTACCGAGGAAAAACCGGACGAAAATACCTCTGCAGGAAATTCCCAATCAATGAGTGTGGTTAAAGGTGGCTTCACCTTCAGTTTTCTGCTGTAGGAGGGGATATCGTGAACTATGTCCACGGGACAAGTTAAGCCAACTTTAGAAGTATATATGTTATGTGCCCTCCGTTTCTTGTTGACCTGTGGTCAAAATGGTCTTGCGCCCTTGCTTGTACGCCACATACAGTGTCTGAAGAAATAAAATGGAGAAGAAATGTTTGACCACCCATCGTGTCATCATTAGTCAGCACACACTTCTCTCTTTTGGGGCTGTGTGTGTATGTGTGTATTTTCCCTGGCATTTTCAACTCCCTCGTTTCCTGCGTCCTCCATTTCGAATTGGCTTGTGGTATTTGAAATGGTTTCAGCTACACAACAGAATACCATAAAAAATGAATTCAGCAAATGTGTTAACCCTTTGGATGTCAATCCACACTTTCATTTATTCGTTGATTTTTGTATATTTTAATTGTAATTTTTATTTTTTTATTATTATCATTATTAGAGTTTTTATTGCCTACGCGCTCCCATTACTATTTTGTGACGATCAAGGCCTTGTTCGCAGGTGAGGGCGCTATCATTGCAGGGTGCAGGCCGATTTGATTGTTATCAGAGTTTCATGTGCCCCCCACCAGTCTTTGATGTGTTAATGGATCTTAGGCTTTCATGAATCTGAACTGTTCTTGGCCTGAACTGACAACTGAACTAAGGGACTTTGTGCAAGTAATGTGTGCAAGGATGTGAACTGTACAGCTTGTAGGCCTACATGTTATATTTATTTTTGGCTTATTTTTGGTTTGTACCTGTTCGCGATGGAAATACGTGTGCCATGACAGTCTGGTTTAGTGACATTATTTGGTCAAAGTACCACTTGCCCCATTTCGCTATTCCAGTTACTAAATTCATTCAGACGAATAGGACATAGTTATGTCATCACATGGTTTTTTATATCAAAATATCAAACTTAATTAGCAACTCCATTTAAAAGGAGCTTTGGTAATAATTCTGAGTGGGAATGATAATCTTTCTTGTGGTCTCCTTTACAGTTTTTAAAACACAAGTTTTCGCCCGACGCCATCCCAAGAAATGCAAAATGGCTGTATTTATAAATATCTTACCTAGTGAAAAAACTAAACAATAATTATGCTGAGGCATGAAAAAGCTTAGACCTAGTTCAATCAAGCAACGGATAAATGTATCACACTCACTATACTTATGCAAGTCTAATTTCGATCACAAAATGCACACTGCCCTCGTGCGGCATGATGCCTGTCTTTGTTCGGATCCGTTTACGTATCGTAGAGGCAATCGACCTGTAGCGTTTAACGAAACGAAATCATTTGCACCCCTGCAAATAGACCACAATACCACAAATATATCCGGCGAGTTCATTAATAAAAGTTATACACTCAAAATGTTCTATATTAGTGTCATGAAATTGGGGAATCGAAAATTATGGCACTATATGAACCTCTGGCCCGGACTAGGAGCTTTCAATTCTGAGCAATTTGGATGCAATCGGGTCCGAAAGTGGCGCTGTTTTGCAGAGGGGTGTATTTTTTAAATGGCTTCTTTTTCGGGCAGGGAAATTTCCTTTATTTCAGGGTTGGACTGCTATGGGTGAGAATTTCTCACAAATTCATTGTTCAACCAACTAAATACTGAAAGGGTAATTAAAGTGGACATTTCGGACATTATTTTTCTGTGCAGCCTGAACACTGACCTGCAGTTGAGAGTTGCATTTTAGAAATAGTTTTGAAGTTTGGGGATTTATTTATATACTAATCCGAGAGGACGCCATTCTGCGGTGGCGTCCCGCTCACACCCACATTCCTGATCGAGATGCGCGGCAAATCGCGACACCTTATTGGCCAATGTGGCGTGTCACGCGCGCGTGCTTCCTATCTACGCACTTTGTGCCACTGCAGTGAAGCTTCTAATTCTGGTTCTTTAATTACACAGTAGGGGTGCACCCTATTATATTAACTATATATTTGGGGATAGGCTCCCTGGCGTCAAATATCTTGCTATAATTCAAAGCAGGCATTTGATTAGTGCAGAGGACGCAAGGAAGCCCGACTAAAACCTTAGACTGAATGCCCCTGCTTATTAAATTAGTTATTGCATTGCTTCCCTCCGGAAACTCCAGGTTACACAGGAATTGAAGGCAACTTAATAGGGCAATGCCGCGGTCGATTCATTCCCAAGGGATAAAAACAGCTCGCGGTAGGACTTTGTTACAAACCTTTAAGACATGATAAGAAAAGAAAACATGTAACGAACTGAGTAAAAGACATTTCTGAAAATTTATTGGCTGCACTTGCCACCACTAAATTGGGCACTTCAAGTTGAAAATCAAAGAAGAAAAGTTACAAACTGAATTACACAAAAATAAACATCTTTCGTTCATTATCTGAATTTTGTAATTTTATAAGACAAGCTCATTCATCATCCTGTTAGAGGCTTCCTTTCCCAACTACAGACTGCATCCATAAAACTGCTAAGACAAATTCTCCACATGTTCACAAGAAATTTACTGTGGCTACAATGATTCATTACTTGTAAACAATTTATAGCTGCAAAGTGAGTGAAAATTTTTATTCGTCTTATATATCGTCATTTTAGTCTCACTCCGGGCATGGCGTTGAATTGGAAATGCAAATTCATTTTTGTAATCCATGTTACCAATTTAATTCCTCAATTTTGTCACTGAATTTATTGCTGAAACGCACTACTAGGATTGCCTAGCATTCATCGACTTTCATGCGATCTTACCGAATTTGCATGATGAAATCATTAAATTGGATGATCGTTACAAGAACGACCAGCAGATGAATGGTAAACTCGTCTTTCATAAGCTTTTCAATCAAACAACTAATGAAATTGAGTGAAATCGGTAACTGGGCCTATTATAAACTTCGTAATACTGAAAAATGATCATGCCTCTAATGCTGTAATTCAGCACCATTCAACCTTGACTCACAGATTACAAAAAGTCAGTGCTGGGAAATGAAAGGGAAAAGGCATAAATGTGAGAGAACGAGAAATTTTGTGATTTCCACAACTACATCCCATGTGACGCAACTTGACTCACTTTGGTCTTCACCAAAACAGAGAATTATTTCATATGCTAAAAGTAAACAGTAAGAAAGGTCAACTACTGCTGCATAGTGACTGGCAGTTTCAAAGTGCTTTTCTTGGGGAGTGTCCATTTTTCTGTCCTGTTTGGCGCCCCTGGAGTAACCAAATGCTGAGAAACAAAAAAGAACAATAAATTACAACAGTTTGGCACTACTTTTTAATATACAGAGGAGGCCCAATACTCCTGTAAGGTATTAAACTTTCTCATTCATTTTTCTTTTTATTCTAAATGGAGGCAGCATTTTTGGTCACGACACTTTTGTCCAAGATGGAATGGGTCGTCTGCTATATTACAGTCTGCTGATAGCGTGTCCAAATGAAGGGATTTCATTTATCGAACTGTTAATACGACATATGCTGCTAGAAAAAAGGCAAATTAAAGTGACTCCAAGAATCCCCCATTCAAAAGATGGCCACTGAGGGTACAGGGATCCAGGGGGTTGGGAGGTAGGTATATGGTTTCACTCCCTAACTCTTCGTTTACACTTGAGCATTACAAAAAAACGTACATACCGCTGAATCCACTCTGGAAGCCTCTGCCGTTGTGTTACCATTGTGATCACAGACCTCACCAGTCAGTGCCTTGGATCTGGCCCCTTCTTGGCGCTTTACCCAACAAGTGAGCTGGTCTCAAAGCCAACTGTCTTCTGTCATCTTCGTTAATGACAGCGACCTTCCAAAAATAAACAAAAGAAAAATTTCAACATCTGCAGAACAAATGCACCTGTCTGATTGGACTAGATTCTGATAAAGAGCTTAGTTTGAAAGGCCGTATATTTGGATCTTCATCTGTTGTTTTTTTAGGAAGTTGTTAAACCTTCGATACTTCAGACAATGGCAAATATTTTTGGGTATATACACAATGATCAAATAATTTGGCAAACATTGCCAATGCAAAACAAGACTGATGAAGAATATGATTTCAGTTTAAATTTAAGGAAATGTAGGGTAAAACTGTGCAAAATCCAAGGCAAAATTGAGTCTACAATTTAAAGAAAAAAAGCGATGGCAATTGAAGGCATCGAAGGAAAGGGGAGCAAGACGCCACCAATGCGTCTGTTGCTGCTGTGATCTAGTTACAGTTCAGTGGCAAACTTGCACACCAGTACGAAGGTAAAGGATTTGATCATCACGTCCCTACTCCTTAGTGTATCACTTCAGAGTTCCTTACCTGTCATAATGAACAAGAAAAAAAGAAACTATTAAAGTGAAAAGCATTTTAATTTAAGCACGTCTTCTTGTTCAATTTAAACTTGACTATGGTTTCACATAAGATTGAAATATTTTGAACTTTTGAATAAGTTTAGAACTTTTCAGTCAGCAGTCTCATACAATGAAGCAAACAGTAAGTGGTGTTGAAGTGTGATGATGGGCAACGAATGCCACTTCCACATGCATGGTTCGATTTATTCCAACTTTGGGATGGAGTCTTTATTTGGAAAGAAATATTGATGAGCATAAAACAAAAAAGCAGTGTCGATAAATTACATTGTTGAGTAGTCATGTGCTCACCTGAGAAGCTGCAGTAAAATGAATATCCTGGTAAGGTTAGTGAAAACAGGGCCACCACGTGAAGGTCCCAGGATACCAGCCCCGCACGCTTTCGGCAATTAGCGGGCCCATCGCTGGACAGACTGGTGTTACCCTGTGGCCGCAGGGGCACCATCTGCCACTGTCCGGTCCGCCCTCCCGAAGGAGAGTGCCCTTGCCTACTTACGCGCGCCCTCCCACCCCTGGGAAGGTGAGAGGACGTACCAGCGCCTTGCTAACCATCAATGATAACAGGGCCATGCCCCTATGGAAGAGGTCCGCGGCCCTCGACGCGAGGGACATAACTACCTGCATCTTTTCCGGCTAACAAAAACGTTGGTAGGGCTAGACGGCGCGCAAGGAGCTCACGCCTAGCCCCTTTCTTGGTTTCGCACGTCTCGCATCGGAACCCCCCAGGACTCCAACTGGAGCGAGTTCCAATTTCAGATCAATCTCCGCACCGCACCTAAGCCCTAACGACATAGGGATATAGGAGATCCCATAGTCTATGCACTTCTCAGAGGGATATGACACATCCCACTGAACTAGAGGGAAAAACTCCTATAGTGAAGCATTTCACGCTCACTACTAACAAAAAAGTCCCTGAGGGAGTTACGTATGCCCTAAAGATGACCTTCACTGGTGGAGCCTTGCAGCAGGGACGGATCCAGGGGCAAGTTCTCAACCTTACTCTACACTTAATTTTTCGTAGGAGACCATCAATTTCCAATTCATTTTCATATACTTTTCTTTTCTCTCTCTTACAGAGAAAATCATGGTACATGATGCTTCAGATAATTTTAACATGCAAGCTCCCCAAGGAACTGAGTTATAGTTGTCCTCCCTTTCATTGCCACCCAAGATCCGCCCCCGGATGGACAAGGGATATAGCAGATCCCATAGTCCCGCGGGTCTTGCGTTGGGGATGTAGGGATATAGAAGATCCCATCACCCATCTTGAGGACATCGGGATATAGATGATCCCATAGTCCTTATAGGTTTGGACTTGCAGAAAATGCTCTATTTGAGCCGACGACCTATGCTCAATTTGAGCCGATGACCTGTGAAAGACCACCACCCCGCACAATCGCAACACATAGCCCACCACCACACAATCACAACATGTAGCTGAACCATTCTGGGAAAATACTAAACTGACTTGGTATTGATCCGTTTCACTAACAACAATGCCACAATAAACATTGACAAACATCACAAAAAAATCAATTTTAATTCTGCACAAAGTTTCCAAAATTAATTTACATAAAACAAATCAACTTAAAAATATTCCTCTTCGCAAAGGTGTCACCAAGCTACCAAACTTGGAAAATACTCCAAATAAATGCTTTCATGAAACTTTCTTTCAATGCTTTCAGATTCCCAAAATGGTTCAGAAGCAGACTTGAACGAAAGTGTTTCAACTTTGCTTGGATATATATAAAAATGAATGGTTACTTTACCAGGCCTAGTTGCCATGATCCGGGGTTCTTGTGCATGTTCACGCCTGTAAGAAATGGTTACCTCACCTTATGAACATGCAAGTCTTGAATTCCCCGGCCTCTACTTGTGATGACCCATCTCCCGTTGTACCGTTTCGACCAACAATCTCCTTGTCCAAATCAGATGAATCCTGCGATCTGGGGGTCCCCCCGGCCTCTACTTGGATTGTCACTACTTCCAAGCAGATGTTGAAACAAAATCAAGCAAGATCAATCAAGCACTGAGAAATTTGAAAGGTAAAAAGGTTACTCAGTGACTTGATGGATGAATTGGCTTAGAAAAGCTTTTTTGTGATAACATACCTAGTACAAAATTTTTCATTTTCTTTTCCTCCACTGATTCAGCTTGCTCGAGTGTGGTCCCTGTAGAAATGAAAAATTCCTTCTACTTTAATTTAATTTAATTAACATACATTAATGAGAATGTAAGAAACCTACCCACTTGAGAAATCAAGTAAAAACCACCATCTTAATAGCATATCAACGGTGATCAAAGCAAACATGGGGTACATGTTGAGTGCTTAAAGCACATTTCAATGTTGACGAGGACAAAAAAACACATATCTGGGCACAGAATTTTTGAAATCTTTACATCTGATTTCAGGTCCAGCTACAGGTCTAGCTGTTTGGCTGCTATGGGCATAGTTCTTAGCCATTTGAAAATACAGAATCTGTGGGTGAAGAGCTATAAAAAGGACTGAATATTTGTAAATGAGTAATACTCACCTCTATGGATTCCTTGAAGTTGAATGACAATAGCTTCAGTAGGACCGATTCCAGACATAAGCCAATTTCTGTCCAGTACATCATTCAGAATCCTTGAGATTTCTTCCTCACTGACAATGTTTTTCATTTTCTCCAAGAGAGCTCTCTTTTCAAACACTGGCTTGTGTCTTGTCCGTGAATTCCTCCCTTTTCAATTCTTAAAGTGAAAGTCAAGATTCAGAGTCCACTGCAGCAGATTTCCCTCGTTTGTTGAAAACTGCCTTTATTTTATCCAGGGAACCTGCACAGTTAAACTGATTCTAATTGGGGCCAAGGTCGGACTTAAAAGAAACGTTTAACAAAAAAAATGCCCAGTTGGGGCATTTACGGCGATTTTTAAATTTTCTTTTTAAATTTTGATTTACGACAAGTTTGAGAAGTGTGCTTTTGATTTTTAAACACAAAATAGTACATCAAGCACAGTGAAGTGCATAAACAGCGTGTTTTAAAAAAGTTTTTACAGCTGAGCATTTCGACTGATCAGATTCCTCATTTTATTAGGAAATGGGTAAACGGTTTAATAAGGGGGTAATGGCTTGTGGTTACACATTGGTTAATGGTTGGGGGTTAGTTAAGGTTTATATGGTTAATGGGAATGTTATTTATTTTAATGGTTGGGGATAGGTTGAGGTTCATATGGTAAATGGTTATGGTTAAAGGAGATGTTATTAACTGTTGATGGGTGGGGTTTGGTTGAGGTTCGTATGGTTAATGGGATTGTTTTCATGGCTGTGAGGAAACAATCTGAAAATACTGTCACTAGCATAATGACTCAATTGATGCATAGTGGGTCAACATATCAGCAAGCACAATTGGCTTGTATTTTAGAGATCGGCCAATATCACGCTCAATTTGTTCCATGCGGCAGGCTGACCTAGATAATGGCAAGTTCATTGATACGCGATCTTCTACGACCATAGGTCCACTGTTTCACTTTCAGTTCAAACGGTAGAATCACGGTAGCACTGGGTTCGACACCATGCTGGCAGGCATCTTCACTGTTACATTCCTCCTGCGAGCTCCATGTGCGAGTGTTGATTTTAGCCTTCCTTGCTGATTCAAACAAGGTGCTCAGGAACCATCTGTTAAATAACAAAAATAAAACGTTTTCAACAATTGTTCCCCTGTCCTAGGTAGCTCTAATTAAAGGACTCTGGGACAGGAGTTTACACTTCATCCAATTTTTAGCAGCTTCAAAATGTCCAGAACTTGAGAGGCTACGTCTACTTCTTGGCAACTTATTACTTTTAGGACTCTGCAAGTATACAACTGCCAAAAGGTTAAAATTTCAAATTTTCTTTCAAAGTTCTCCACAAAATGGTTCAACCTTTTGTGTAAAAGAAGACTTCAAAGGAAGCAAAGGTAATTTGGGAAGTAATTGTGACCTTGAACGAGTGAATGCTTTTGCATTTGTACTGGTACGATAACTGGTGACAAACTGACAAGCTTGACGAATTTCAAGGTTTCGTGCATAACATCCGTGAGGGTGTAGCCGCCAGGTCCTACAGTCTGATTGGTCTTGATTGGAAGCGGGGGAGTATCGCAGGGCGCGCGCTACACGCTGCTTTGTGAAGCTGTTCACATGCTTGTGACGTCACTAGTGCTTGCGCAATGTGTGATGCATCGTGCATGTAAATGGCCACAGTATGTATATACACATTGTTGATTGTTTTGTGAAGAGAAGAGGCAAGGTGGCAAGTAAAAGCTCTAATTTGCCAACAACTTTGATTACATAGTCCAAAAACCTCAGGCATGCCATTTAAAGATACACACTGTCTATGATTTAATTCTGAGGGCTTTCTTGGGGAAGAGTTGATTGAGAAAGTGCAGTTTTGTCAAAGAACGGAGGGACACTGCAGGGCTGCATTCAAAATCCCGTAGCGTTACGAACCCAGTTTGGAACCAGCAAGGCACACGGAGTAGTGCCTTCCAGTTCTGCAAGTACAAGCTCTTCATGTATATAGTTTCAATATTTTGGGCCACAAAAACGTGACTTATTCCGTCTGAAGTAATCAAGAATCAGATTTTTTTTAAAATCCCATTTCAAATCAAAATGTAAGGCCATACTTCCCAAATTATCTTTGCTTCATTGAAGTCTTCCTATTACACAGAGCGTTGAAGAGCCATTTTGTCGAGGACTTGAAAATTCAAGAATTCTGTATCCGGACATTAATCGACACCATTTCATAAACCTCATGGGCATCCTGGTCAGAAAAATTCTAAATATTTTTTAAGTAAATGCTTCAAATATTTTCACTGCTAGATTTGACTTTTTAAGACATGTTATCACTTTCGAATGGCGAGTAAACTGCTGCATGAGAAAAATTAGTGATGTCCTTAAATGGAACTCTCACTCTCAAAGGCAGCCCACCGCGACGAAGTGAACGAGTCACAGCCAAAATTTAATATCGTGCTAAAAAATGTCGGTGTTACGAACTTTAACTCATTCAGTCCACTATTTAAACAGTAAACTATGCCACTTCTACTTATGAGGGTCAAAACAGCTTCATTCGACGAACTTACCTTCGCTGTCAAGATGGCGTAGAGAAAATGAAGCTCTCCACGTCCACGATACCCGCGAATTTATGAATGCGTGTCACCCCACGTGTTGATTTTATTGTTATGTAATTACACTGGTTCCCGTTCCTGAATTCACTCTAACTTTTAATTCATTGCGGCGGAAACCAATCTTTGCGCAGTTGAAATTCGATTGATTGGACATCCTATATGTCGGTAAAGTTTTATAAAGGCTCTATTAGGCCAGTACTTTTATTTAATTTTTAATTTGTTGAATTATAAACCAACATCTCTAAATAATGATATTTTACAAAGAAAAACTAATACGGAAATTCTTATTTTAACACATGTAGGATTTATATATGTAGTACGAACAGCGCCCCCTGTATGTAAGGGCGTGGTTCAGCCACTAGTTCCCGTCCCGTACATAGTCTCAAACGTCTACTGAACGTATGGACCGGTAGCAGATAGCGTAATTTTCTTTTCCTAGGAGGGTCAGGGGCAATTATCGGTGCGGTTAACTGCAAGCTCGATCAATCTGGTGGACACTTAGAAACTTAAGTTAGAGGGTAAATTTCAGGCTGTACTTTCGTATTATAAAAAACATCCTCTTAAAAACTAATCCCCCAGAAAAAATATAACTGCATACACGTAGACTGGAAACCTTGCCTTGCCGCTTACAAGCCAAGCACTCTTCTAACTGAGCTACTGTGCAACTGGTCGAGAGAGCAGTTTTGTTTTATGTCACCCTTAAATGTTTGTCCCCCCATTCATGATAATTACCCCAAACCTTCCTACCAGAAACGCATGCGCAACGTACGGTTCCGATATGCCCATTTTATTATACTTACCCCAAACCTCCTAGGATTCTACAGTCATGTGGCAACACTGTCACGTGACATACCTTTCGAAGGCTTCTGGGTACAGTCCACTAATTCATCAAACCCAACTGAAAACAGTGTAAAATCAGCACTGTTCAGGGCCCAA